TGAGAAAATTTTTCTTTAAGATAAAAATAAAGTGATTTTTATTTATGTATAAAATATATGTGTTTATTAATTATAATTTAGTTCTTTTTTTTTAATGCTTCTTAAGTTTACTGAAATGTTTTTCATACAAGGTGCATCAGAAAAATGTATACACACTTTGAACTGTTATATAAAATTTATTATCGTACCTACAAAGTTAAGTTTACAAGAGAAAGTAATATTATGTTTCCTCAACATGTAGCAGCAGAGTCATCGGTCTAGCTGCACAACCCAGTTAGTGCCAAGAGAGTAACATTGACATGGCAGGTGTGTGTTTGAACTTCCAAGAGCAGAAGCAGGTTATCAAAGGGTACTGGAAGTTTGAAAATGTTGCTGTTCAGAGACAGTGAATACACCTTCAAGGTTAACAATTACATGTCTACGAGAAAAATTCGAGGTTCATGGAACAGTGTGTGATGTGCAGAAAGGCCGATCAGAGAGACTTTGCATGGCTACATTTAATGAATCTTCAGTTTTATTGTCACCACAAATTATGGTCACCACAAAAATCTTCAAGGCAAGAATCACATAAATGTGGTGTAAGTGATAGTGGTGAGTGATAATGTAACAGGCCAGTGGATAGGACGCAGGGGACCAATCGAGTTTCCTGCACGCTCTCCAGACCTTATGCCCCTCAATTTTTTCTTATGGGGCACAGTAAAAGATGAGGTGTAGTGTTGAAAACCATGTCACCTTGACATGTTTTGAGATTAGATTCAACCGGTGTGCATGGAAATCCCATTTTTGGTGCAAGGTAAAGAATCAGTCCTGATTCATACTCAGAAGTGTATAGATCAGGGATGTCAAACTCATAGGTACACTTGGGCCAAACAAGCAAGGTTTAACTTTAGGCGGGCCCCCCCCAAAAAAAAATCAATATTCATTGAAACGTAGATTTATTTCGAATAATACAATAATAAACATATATTTATATAGAAAAGAACAAGAAAAATTTAATGTTTACATCCTGATACTTGACATCTCTTCTCTGCTATTATCTTTCCTATTTCGGGAGAAATTTTGTTTGCAGTGATAACTTTCAACGCTGACCCAAGGTGAGCATCATTAATACGGTTTCTAATAGGAGACTTATTACTTTTCATGACTGAAAATAACTGCTCGCACTGATAAGTGCTACCAAACATGGAAATAATTTCATATGTGAATTTTCGAGTATTTTCAAACGTGGCTGGTAAATACTTGTAAAATTCAGGCACGCCCACTTCAATGAATTTTGCTTTCAAATTTGAGTTGCATTGCATCTCGATCACCTCCATTTGCATATGGCTGGGTACTGAGTCAACACTTATTGAGAAAATCGAAGAAAACAAAAAAAAAAAAAAAAAAAAAAAAATATGTCTTCGAGGGAACTAAAAATCATTAAACGTCGTTTCAAATTCAGTTGTTAAATTTGCAATTTTTTTTTCTGCGTATTTTTGATACGAACAAGTATCATCTAAACTTGATTTGTTCATGCACGCACGTCGGGAAGTGCGTCAAATCTTCATTTTTCAGTTGTTTTTCCCAAAGAACTAGTTGACTTTTGAATGCTTTAATTATGTCAAACATGTTCGTAATGATATATGATCTTTCCTTGTAACGATAAATTTAAATTGGTTAAGTGTTTGGTTATATCAACCAAGAAAGATAGATCTGTATCCATATTGGATCGTAAAACAAACTTATGTCTTGATTTTCCGTTTTTAAAATCTGACATATTTCTGCTTTCAAATTCCCAGAATTGTTTGAGAATCTTGGAGCAAGATAACCAACGTACCTCGGTATAGTAGGACAAACCCTGAATATTCACTATCTAACTCACTTAAGAAAGCAGTGAATTGACGCTGATTTAAACCTCGAGATCTTATAAAATTTATAACTTTTTTATATATGACAAAACATTCTCCATTTTATTACTTTCGTGCATAGAACTTCTTGATGTATAATACAATGCATATGATGAATGTTTGAACCGTGAATTTCACTAAGTTTTTTTCTTAGTAATGCTACGAAGCCTTGTTTTTCCCAGTCATTGATGGAGCGCCATCTGTAGCTACAGAATTTAATTTTTCCAAAGGTAGATTGTATTTCTGCAGAAGTCTAAAAACACAAGTAAATATATCTTCTTCTGTGGTAGTACAGGCATCGGTATTAGATCCAGTAATTCTCAAAAATGTTAAAATTCTTGTCCACAAGAACGAAGAAACACCTGCTAATTGAGCTTTGCCACTAATGTCCGTGCTCTCGTCACAGGCAATGGAGAAACTTTCGAAAACTAGATGATTTTGCTTTGATCTGATCACTTAAATTCGCGGCTAAATCAGTAACTCTTTCTGCAACTGTATTTCGAGAATGAAATTGATTGAAAAGCCTTCACATTTCCAGGACAAACAATTTCTCTCAGCTTTCATTAAGCATTCCTTGATGAAATCGCCGTCAGTAAAGGCTTCGAATGTTTAGCTATCAACTCGGACAAGACGTAGCTTGCATGTACCACCCGCCGCGTTCACCTTTCTTGCAATACTTTACTAAACATGGACTGTTGCTTTTTCACTCCTAACTTGAGCTCTTTCAAACTTTTCTTCTCTCATTAATCCTTCGTAATTGTTATATTTGATTTGTGTTCTTCGTATGATGTTTAATATTATATAACTTTGGTACATTAATAGTAATTATTACATATCAAGCAGATTATTTTATCTTGTTATTTCACAGCAAAAATATTCTAATTCCCATTTTACTTGGAATATTCTATGTTTGTCAGCGATTTTACTACCACTTGGTTTTGATATAGACATACTGAATACAAAGGGCTGGAATAAACACGGTTAACGTTAAAAAGTTAACAAAAATTTATTCTTTCCACAAGAGATAAATCAAAATGCTGAAATATTTCTTCAAAAATATTCTAACAATATCACAAAATATCAAACGTTTAGCAAAAATCAATTCAAAACAGAGAAACTAATTCTATCTCACAGCGAAATCGCTACAAATCAATCACAGCATTAAGTAAACAAACAGTTCGCTAGAACTACAGCTACTACTGAGATGAGTTGTTTGTTCTTGGCTTTTATAAGTTTTATAATTAATTTCTCGAATATACTAGAAACATCTATAAATATCTGGATTTTTGTGGATGGCAACAGCAATTACGAGATATTTATTTATTAGGTATTAAATGCACTCGCTGTTCTATTTTTAACCTTCCAACGCAGCTGTCTTTTCAAAAATCATCTGCATTGCTAAGGCAACATGAAGCAAATCTAATTACAATTCTAAATAAAAAAAACTAACTAAATAATAACTATGAAATCCGTAACAATATGAATTAAGTAATAATTAATAATAAGCAAAGTGGCATGCACATGCGTGCACCAATATATCGTACAAAACTATGATTGGAAAACTGAGACCATGAGTTCGGCCACATTCGGCTATCGGGGATGCGTACAAGTTCTGAGTGCACGTGTCCCCAAAAGCCGAAGGGTAGCTGAACACAAGCTACTCACACGCATTTGTAATTTAAGTAGTGTGTGTGTCAGCTCGCTGTGAGTAATCTAACAACACTGAATAAATTTTCGTTAATTACTAGCAGTAAACATTTCATTTTTTTCTTCGTCGATAAGTTATTTTATTATTATATATTATTATTTGCCGATATATTGGCCGGGCCGCAAAAATATTTGTTGTGGGCCCCATGCGGCCCGCGGGCCACGAGTTTGACATCCTTGGTATAGATGAAGACCACTGTGTTGAACATTTATTTTAAACACCATTTTGAACATTCTTTTTGATCAGAAAGTACACTTATTTTTCAAATTGGACTATAGCCTTAATTTTTCTAGTAATTTAACTTTGTAGTTTCGAAAATAAAGTTTCTATGATGGTTTAAAGTGTGCATACGTTTTTCTGATGCACCCTGCACGTAAGCTTTTCTTAGGATCTGTTGTTACAGATTTTAATTACAGAGTTGTATTTATTAAAAGTAAGAGATAGTGCTTTTATACCAAATTTCAGATAAACCTGCATTTTTTACTTCATTTTATAAGGGCTTAATTCATGGAACCACATTTTAATATATAATTTTGCTCTTTTTAAAAAATTTTATTGCTGTATTAAATATACTAAGTAACTGTCATATTTTTTAAAGGGAGAAGGCATGAGACATAAATTGTATTTATCTTTGAAAAATGTATCATATAAATTTTTGATTTAGCTTTAAACTCAAATAAAACATCAAGCTGAGTTAAAAAAAAATATTTTGACAACTGACTGTGAAATCTTGAATATTTTCTTCAGTTGTTCTCTCTCTTTCCTTTTTCAGTTTGAATATATTAATACTTTAATTTTTTTTAATTTATAAATGTTACAAAAGAATTCATCATTATGCTATTTTTTAGTAAACCACAGTTCATAGAAATAAATGTTTAATCTTAAATTGTATACCTAACTGACATGGCACAACATATTACATTTCATTTTTATAAAGCAAAGGTCAAATTCTAAATATATTTCATGTACATTTTTGTATAAATATGATTTTATTTTTTTAATAATCAAAAGTCCAGTTCCAAGTGTGTTTGAAGTAAAATTTAGCAAATTCCTTAAAATTCTTCCATTAAATTTCCCAGATTTCTTATAATATTGCCCACCTGTGATGGGGTGGTTGCACTGGTAGTTTGATTGTTCAAATCTGAGCAAATCAATCTTGCTTGGGTGGTTTTGTAGCTTTTTTCATATCACGATGTTTTCTTTAGAAAGTCCTCCATAAAGACATCCCTTCCTTTTGGGCAGGTAATTGTGCTTTATTTTGTCATAAACAAAAACACATGCACATATACAAAACAAGAAACAAATAAAACATCCCCCCCCCAATCTTATTGAGTCTTTGTGATGCTATTTGAAAATCATTGCTTTGATTCTGTAAATAAGTTTTACTAATACTATAATTTTTACAGATGTATCCAGTATTCAATTTTCCTGTACAATGATCAGCTAGTTTGGTAAATTTCCTTTTTGTTTATTCATTTTTATTTTAAAATCATCTTTAATTAAATTTATATTGAAGTAAACTGTGATGCTTATGAAATTGTTTTTTAATGTAAAATATTTCATAAATTTTTTCTTGTTTGGAGTTATGTACTTATTTTAAAATGAAAATCCATAATACTTGATAATTCATAAAATTAACTGTGGTACATGTTATAAATTAAAAGTGTTACATTTTTTTATATTTATTTTCTATACATTTTTACACCTTTTATTATGGAGCTGAATTTAGATAAATAAGACTTTTGATATAAATTGATTTAATGAATATCTTAAGGTTTGTAAAAAATTTTTTCCCCATTTAATGAGTAATGAATTATTATTTTTTTTATTAATCCTTTGCATTACACTACATTTTATGCACTTAATGAGAAATCAAGCTTTTAATTTTTATGTATTTGCATGTGTAAGCACAACTATATTACAAACTGATTTGTGTTTAAGGAGTGGATTGGAACCAGAAGATATGCAGATTTTGTATCAGCATCTTTCTTTGGATCTTATACCATCATTCATTGATTCTGAATTGAAAGGTGGTGTATATTCTCCTTCCAGGATTAGTCCCATGGGTTCTGGAGTTCATTTTGGAAGGTAATTTTATCGTATGCCTGTCTGAATTAAATATAATTATTGCTTTAAAGATTTACTTGCATGTTATCAGTCTTTGTGGTCTGGAATTTTTAAGCATTATGAAGAGTCATTGTACTAGCAGATACTTCAAAAACTTCAATATAAGTCTTTTTTGTAGTTATGGGGAAGTATACTAAAAATGTGCAATTTTTAGCTTAAAGGTATTTTCTTCAAATATCAGCATTTAATACATGATTCCTTTTTGATACTTATTACAGTAATCTGAAACTTAATCAATTTAATAACTATTGTAGGAACATTTGCTCTTTGCTTATAAAAAATATTAAAGGAAAAGAAAAGCTTCACATTGCATGTATATCTACATTGTAATTATACTATTAGTGAATCTCTTAATATTAACCCTCTGAGTGGTCTGGTTTTTTGGATATGTTATGAAGACACATATTTAAAGAGCCTTTATTAACTAAATGCATATATTTTATATATTTTAGTCTCTATTTTCATAAATTACATTCATCAAGGTGGCATCTATGTATATTATTAATGAAAGTAAGAAAGCAAAATATCTTAAATTATAAGCTAATATATAACAAGTGACAAAAAAATCATGACTGGATAAAGACGGTCATGGCGCTCAGACAGTTAATGTAGATACTTTTATTGCATTTGATAAAGTGTAATGCTTGCTTGAGTGTGTTTGGTCTCTCTATTTTACTTCTTTTTTGTAACTTTTCTTTTCTGAATAGCACACGTTTGAATTCTGGAAATTTTTATGCTGTATGTGCTTTAAAATTTAGGATTTAACACTATATTGTTGCATTCGAATGAGAATATGCTGATATTAATTCGAATGCTTATAATATTTGATGTTTTGATGATTTTCTGATTTTTTGATGAATATAGTCGGAATTATATCCTTATACATTATCCTCCAAAAATCAATGAATAAATTGTTTTAAGGTAGACATTTTAAAACAAACAAGATAGAAATATAAAAGTTGGCCCAAATATAGACCATGCAGTGACTTATTGCATTAGATTGTTATAAAGAAGGTACATCTTGTATTCGCCCCCCCCCAAAAAAAATTATAAAATATGATTATCAGAAAGCACACATGGAAAACATGGAAAACTTTTTTGAATAAAAAAAAACTAATATTTTTATTCAAATAAATTTTTTAAATACTTTTAATTTGAAATAAACTCACTGTCCTGTGGTGTGGGTGTGGGTTTGATGCTTCCTGTTCATGGTGTTGATTAAATTGTCAAATATTTTGGTAAGGAACAAAGATCACAGGCACTATAACCATTGGTACAACTCCATTTAAGGATCAGGGAGTAGAAGACAAAGCAGCTACCTCTATTCAATTAAACATATCTAGTCCCAGATATGTTTAATTGAATTAAAATTTGATGATTGAGCTGTCTAATCCATTCTCTAATTACATGGCTGATGATGGTATTGGTTGACTGTATGTGTCCAGTAAAGCCAGGTAAATTGTTGTCTATTAAAACAAAGGAACCACTGAATAGTGTGGCCTTATGTCAGCATATGGTTTGAGATTATGACCCATATACATCTGATCTGTGACAAATACTTCAGTTAGATGTATATATGCCAGTTTGACTGCCTAAAATAATTCCTGCCTAAAGAGGGATATTGCTATCTTGTTAAATATCACATCCAGCTGTGTCATATTTCTTGTTCTCATGTTTAAATATGCCATCAGATGGATATTACTTTATTTGTAAGAGAATTGAGCTAAGAGTTTGTTTATAAAGAAAATGTAGTATCTATCAATGTTATTAATAATGGAAAACATGTGGAATTAATCATATGGCTATATTAATTATTTACTGCCATATTAATCGTATGGCAGTAAAATTTTCAGCTAAATAATTTATTTGAGACTACAGAAGTTTCAAGTAGTTCAGGAAGTAACACTAAAGCAATATTCTGTTATCTTATTTTGCCAAAAATTTTGTTATATGCTTCAGTATATGGAATGATTGTTGAAATAGCTTGTACTAAATACTGTAGCATGAAAATGTTTGAAAGAGTTATTTAAAATTTTCATTGCAATGCAATTCTATCCAAATCATGAAATAGGTTTTCATTTAAAACCATTTTCAAACTGTGAACATGAAGATATTCACATACACACTTTTTGGTAAATAATTTTTTCAAAAATTCTCAAAATTCAGTAGTATCTTATTTTAGAATAAACAGCCAGTTATTCATAGACTATGCCAAAACATAATTTCCATCTGTAGCTATTTATGTAACTTAATTATCTGGCAAGCAAATTAAAACTCTTTTCAAATTAAGGAACATCACAATAAATAATAGCAAAATGTTTAACATCTTTTCTGCTATAGAACATAATAGTAAAATATTTTTAAGCACATCAAATATATCTCTTAGGTTAGTTATTTCAATAAACAAAACACAGTTAATTCACTTTAAATAAAAAGTTTCACTACTTATTCTGAAAACAAAAAGTGAGTGAACAAAAAGAAATGAATGTAAGTGAGAACAAAAGATTAAATTTAAAAATAATCATTATGTAATAGTGTCAATTATTTTTCCAAATGAATTTTTTTTTATTTGTTATTCTACATAAATTCACTTAAATAAGAAATAAATAAAATATAATTAGTACTCAATACAGTTTTGTTTTTAAGTCAATTTCTGTGGCAAATAATATACTGATAGATTAAAAAAATTCTATCAGTATATTATTTGCCATAGAAATTGACAAAATCTTAATGTCAGTCCAGTTCATATTTACTGAAGCAAAATGTTCAGCTTGGTACTTTTTTGTTTTAAGAGCAACATTCTATTCCCAGTATGGTAATTTTTATTTTACTTATTGTTGATTGACTGACTATATGATATATGTATATATAAGACTTATGTCTACAGTATTTTGTATTGTTTCATGTTTAGATTTATGACGGGACCTAAATCTATGGAAGATACTGATGGATTAAAGAATACACCAAAGATTTTCTTGAATGGTGGTAAAATAAGCTGCCATCTCATTGCATATAGAGCATTAAATGCAACTTTTTGTCTTTTAATAGATGGTAATTTTTATTGCATATTACACTGCTTGTGTGTGTGATTGTATACATATTCAAATAACTATTTAAATATTTATGCTATAATACTGAAAACATATGTTTGTTCAAATAATTCATTGCATATGTTTGTTCAAAAAATTCATTGCATATGTTTGTTCAAAAAATTCATATGCTATCATAGTAATAAGTTTGAAAATTTTTTTAACTTTTATTTATTGTTTTCAACAATTATCAGTAGTCAATTTGTCAATTATAACAGTACGATGCTGTTTATTTATTGTCAAAATGTGTAGTGTGTTCTTATAATTTGTTTAAGATGAGCCTTTTTTTTTTAAAGAAATTTATATATAATATCTAGTTAATAAAGGGGGAGGTTAAAGGGTATACATGCTGTAATATTGTATTGCAGTGTGTGGTTTATCAGCAGGAAACATTACTGATGGCATAATTAGTTGAAATAGCACATATTCTGTATATTATACTTTATTTTATAAAATAATCTTGTGAAAAGAAATTATTATTTAGAAAATTACATTTACTGTACTGTATTTACCAGTACTTAAGTTTGCAGAGATTATTATGTTTCTTGGGGGGGGAAATGAAAAATTAGCAATTCTTGCCAAATGTTGTATTTTATAACTGTTAGCTGTATGTACTAACCATTACACCATAAGGAATACATTAGAGGAATAGCATGCATTATATTTCTTTATGCAAATTAACAGCAGTTTGGAAGAATGTACAAGATCATTTAGCTAGATATAGGAGATGATATTAAATTACTATTTTTCACATTTCAGTTTGGGTTTACTCTGGAGACTGTTAGTTTTTGAAGCAGGAATTACGACAAAAATTTATACTCTCACTGGGATTTGAACTATTGATCTTTCACCTGCTACCTGGATATGTTAACCTTTGTAGAACAAGAGTAACTTATGATAACTTATAGCAAGTTTACATCACTTATTGTTTTCCATGATTCAAAATATATGCTAGACAACTCTAGACATCAAAGTAAGAAATGCTTGTTGACTTTCAGTGCTCTTTATCAGAGCAGTTCAAATTTCATTTAGGTTCAAATGGTAGTAAATGATAAAATAGTTTGAAAAAAGAAAAGAAAGAAACATGATTTTTTTCATGACAGAAAAAAGAAGAAAATTTAGTGGTTCTTGATAACTACTTTGTATTAAAATTCTTTTTATAATTGAATTTTTTTTCTTTTCTAGTACAGCATTTATATTACAACCCTTTAACTGAGGCATTATTCAAAATTTTAAGAACTTCTGTCATAAAAGATTGATTCGCGTTTATCCAGAACATAGATGATAATAATATTATCAAAATTATGGTACCAGTTGCTATCCAAATGATAGCTTCTATCACAGATACCATCATTAAAAAACTGGTTTCTATGTACGGGGGATATTTCTTCGATATTAGTGGTGACAACTGCCACTAGTTTACAAAATAAAAATCGAGAATTCGAATGTGGCAATTGTAAATGATCTGGATGTTGGCAGTAATAATGAATGAAGAAGAAATGTTTAATATAGTACAATCTTCTGGACAAATAAATGATAAAGAAAATTAACTTGATATTCCAATCTACAAAGAAGCTTCAGAAACCATGAATACAATTTGCCAGTTTCTCAAAGCTGTAGATGCCACAAAAAGAGTTTTAAAATGCTTAAGGAAACAGGGAAGACAGTTTATATTCATTGAAACATTTTTAACCTACTATAGTTGAGAACTTTTTTAAATGTAGTTAAAAAGCGATATTTATTAAAAAAAAGGGGGAATAAAAAAGTATCAATATTAAATTGTTTGGATTTTTCTCTTTTAATACTTTGATAACTTGATCTAATTTGCTTAATGAAGATTTAATGAAGTTTCACTGTTTTATATTTGTTACTAAATTTTAGCTGGAAGAAACTCGTATGGCATTTCATTTCATCATCTGTGGCTCTTTGCAACCTACAATTTACCATTTTGAAAATGCTTGCTTGTCTGTAAATATCTTATAGGGATGCTGAATGATTTTAAGAACTTCTATTTCTTGTGATAATTTATTAGGTTTTCTTGTGGATTTTCTGAAGCTGTGTACATCCAACTCCAGAATCTCTGAATTTATTTTCTTTCAGGTGAAATCAGAAGCTGAAAATTTCTTGATCTTTCTTGAGTTTGCTTAGTTTTGATAATATAAAATTCAATTTCAGCAACTTTTCTGTATGAATCACCTATTCAACTCCTGGACAAATAAATGATAAAGATAATAAATGATAAATTCAACTCCTGGTTTCAGTAATGTGCATCAAAACTAATAATTTCAAACTTTATAGCTGTAGTAATTGAATGTGTCATTCATTGTGTTGGTTGTTCTGTGTGCATCAATAATAAAGATAGAAGTTTCATTACTATAAACAAGGCCCATTTTAAAAGTTAATCTGCTAAAACATGCATGATTTTAATTTATGATACTGGCATCAAAAGGTTTAATTATAGTATTTCTACATGCCACAGAACAATGTTGCTTTTTTATACTATTAATTCTTTAATTAATAAAAAGTTATAAGCATGGTTAATAGTGTTATAATCTTTATCATCACTGTTAGTATAATTTTTTTTTTTTTTTTTCATTTCAGATTCTGTTGAACTGCATTTGGATTTATTTAAAAGCTTAGATGCAGAAATTGGGCCACAGTTATCAACTTTAGCTTCTGAGATAGGGGAGCAGTATACCAAAACAATAGCTCAGAATGTCAATAATTTATTAATTTTTCATTGACTTTTATTTATTATTATTATTTAGGTTGAAAAATTTCAACTAGTAAGATGGCTAAGGAATTCTTGGCAAAAGCTAATCATAAATAAAATATTGATAAAGAAATTAATCAGAGAACCATATATTCAGTCAGCTTTTCAATGTACAACTCCACAGAGTAATGTTTGCATTTAAAAGAAACCATCTGTGAGATTCTGTTAAAAATTCATGCACACATAACTTATGGATTTTATTATAAACATAACATTAATCTTAATTTTTATAAAACTAAATTAACCTAAATATGTGAATTTTAGTACATTTTGCTTTTATCTATAATAATTAAACTTAAAAAAAAAATCTCAACTACTTTTATCTAGTTATATCATTGCTGCTGCATAAGAACTGAAAAATTCCGTTTTATAATTTTTAACTATTTTTTGCAATGTGACATAAATTTGAATTCGTTTGTAAAATAGCTGATCTTTTCACTGAGTTCCTGTTATGTTTTCTCTACATACTGTATAACTGTAGCTTTCTGTTTAATTTATCTTTTGATTGAATATTAATTAAAATTTAAATAAATTTATGGAAGTTTTTCCATCAAGCTTGATAAATTTATAATGTGAATAATTCTGCATTTCTGATGGCACTGTAATAATCTGCAGGCTTAAGATGTAATAGTGCCTTTTTTAAAAAGTATTTTAAGTTTTCATATTGCTCTTTTGATTCAGCAAATATTTTTTATCTGTAATCTAGAGAGAAAACTAAGTAAATAATTCTTTTTATAGCTTTTTTTTATTATTTAATTTATAATATTAAGAGAAGAGTGTTTAGAAATGAATAACTTTTTTAATGTAAATGTGAAAATTTTCTTTTGCTGTTCTTTTCAGGTTAAATAATGAACAACAAAGCAAATTTATGTATATGTATTTTAATCATATGAATCTGGCAGAAAAGACTACAATGCATTCTGAAATGAAAAGAAATGGACATGCTCTCATATCTAGTGATATAATGAAGCTGTTTGCTGATATTTCATGTGATCTTATGAAGTATTATACATTTTCATTTTTAACTCTTTTTTTTATTTCATATAAGATAATACTAAGAAAATGTATTTGCATAATGCTTTTATTGCATTGAAGCATGAATTTTGTAAATTTAATACTAAGAAAATGTATTTGCATAACGTTTTTATTGCATCAAAGCATGAATTTTGTAAATTTATGTTGATTTATAGCATATTGTTATAAATCAATGCAAATTCACAAAAACAGTTTTGCTTTTTAGTTAAATGGATAAAAACAAAAGAAAAAGCATTATTTTCTAGAAAGAAAGAAACAAATTATAGCATTAAGAGGAAAAAAAATCTTACATGTAAAAAAAGAAAACAAAAATAACAAATGGAACTAATTTTAATGCTTTAAAACAAATGTTTAACTTAACCTACATTGATATACATGATTTTATTTTCATGATGCTTATTATTTTCATGATGCCTTTATACTGGAAAATGTAAATTATGGATACTTGGATCAAGTATGTGTGCTTCCTAGGAGAGAATATTAATATCTAATTAACCTGTCTGAAGTAGGTTTAAAAACACTAATTTTTAAAACAACTTCAAAATGGGTAGAAAAATCCAGATGTGTGATGTAGTTAGTCTGTGTGGTAACTGAACCAAGGTAGGAAACTCTTAATTTTTGCCCGGTACTATTTTGCTATCAGGACCAGGTCCAGAAATGTATGTATAGATGCATGTGTTCATGTATGCATGTATATATGTACATATATATGTAACAGTGTATGTACACACATATATGTGCATACATACACATGTACATACATAAATACACTTCTGAATCTGGTCCTGGTAACAGAAGAGTACCTTTTGCCCTTTTCTTAGGCAAGCAAAGACAAGCTGCATAGCCTTCTGTAATAAAATTGGTCTGACTTCCAGGATCTAGCAATGAATGACACAGTTGATATTTTCCTGCAGAATCCAAAACATTTATTACTACTGCACTAAGTAACACTTCTTTAATTAATGTTGACATTGCCTAAAAATCTCCCTTTTGTAGTTGAGTAATTCCAGTGCAAACTAGAACAGTTGGCTCCTCACTAGCAATAGTTGAAGAATTAGCTTCTGCCTTATTCTTAGGAATAAATGGGTTCAATTAAGCTGAAAGAGTGCTTGACATTCCAGTGCTTTGAATAACTGCTTGTGCCTGATTGGCATTCGACCTTCAATATGTTTTTGACATGATTTATACTTATGAATGAATACTTTTACATGATGCACCATCATACTGTTAAATTTAGAGCATTTTATTAATGATTAATCCATGCTTTAAATTAATATTTTTGCAAAAGTATGAACTTGAGTTTGTAAAAATTGGTATAAAGTATCTAGCTCATCTCCTTTTATTTTTCTTTCCCACCAACTTCTAGTAGATTTGTCTAATTTTTCTACAAGAGCAAGTGCAATTATGGCTTAAGTAAGCCATAAGGCTTAAGTACTTACTAACATTACTAAAAATCACAACTTTTTATTGTCAACTAATGTTCTCTGTGGAGAATCACAAATAATTGGTTGTGTTAATAATTTTCTAATAATTACATTCATTAATTCTTCTTTTCTAGAGCATTTATCTTTCAAGTAACTTGCAAGAAATTTCATAATTTGCGTCAGAAATAGTTGTTGAGTGTGTAATTTTTAAGGCACTGCTTTTGCAACTTCATAGGATTAGAAATAGTTTTATTTTCATGTACATTTGAAGTAAATAAGTCTTTAAATATTCTGTCATTTTTTCTGAGAAAGATGGGAGAGAAGGCCTAGGTAATTTTATCTCTGTAGTATTAGAATTTAAATGTTCACCTTTTATCATTAATTTCAGATATGTATAATTTAATTGTAAGGAAATTTTATCAATAGTAGTTTATCTAATTCCTCTTCTTACATCATAATGATACTTCTTACACATCCTGAATCAATTAGAGCTTTAGCTAATTTTGATTTGCTTTTGGACTGCACAATAACTACACAAGTTTGCAATGGAATAGCCCCTTTAGGTTTTGGGATAGTTTGTACATAAACAGTAGTACATCTGACTTCAGAGCAGAATGTTGAATGTTCATATCATGTCTGGATCATAGATCACTTGCATTTTTTCCGAGTTTGCTGGCCATGTAATGAGTATGCAGGAGAAATAAGTGATAATTTTGAAGTAGCCGAAAACGATTTGATCCCCTATGTCAGAAGTTTAAGAACACCCTAGGGGACTGGTCCGAGGGTTGTCCGATCTCCTGTATCACCAAGCCACATGAGAGGACTTCTGGCTGACTCTATATTTAAACAGGGTTCGTACGGTCCTTAAGAGTCCTTAAATTTTTTGGAATCGATTTTTTGGTCCTTAAAAGTCCTTAATTTTGGCCAAAATCAGCAGAAGGTCCTTAATTTTAATCATCTGAAATTTCTGTCTGTTTTTATGACTGCCATTTTGAGTGTGAATTAGCATTTTGGAGGAATATTTTTGGCGATTCACTGACACATATGGTTATCTTTTGAATGGGTTATAATTTGTCTCTATTTCTAATATAAATGATGGGATACTCGAGTTTCTAAGCAAAAAGTGAAACATAAGCATTTTGAAATTAATTTTTTCTAATAAAGAAATCTTAAACAACTTTTCGCTTTTGGGGATGTGAATTATTTTATTAAATGGTTCTAAATTTGGCGACTTGTCAACATTTTGGCGATTTTAAGATCAGTTTCTGTAGAAAATTTTTAATTCCGAGATCTGAGAATTTTTAGACGATTTTTTTTTTTTAAACATCAAACATTGATAAATTTTATTATTAAAATAGTGGTAATATATTGAAATTATATTTAAAAAATAGCATTAAAATAAAACATCTCTATTTTTCGCTGTTATATTATAAAGTTTCATTTTGGCAACTTATTATACAATATTATGAATCTGAAAAATAAGGCATAATGCTATAAAGCGCAATTTACGAAACAGCTCTTAACAAGAGCAAAATTAGCTATGTAATTAAGTAAAAATGTCTTCTTTTTAATTTTTTTCATAGTAAGCGTTTTCCCCATCTAAGAATATTCAAAATCCTCAGAATATGCATCAATTTTCTCTATAAAATTAATTTTACACTTTTCCCCTCCTTTTTTTTTTTCCAAAATATTTCTGCCTTTTTGCTGTTACAGAATTGGTAGGGATAATTTTTCTCTAGTATTTTAGACATTGCAGCTTGGAAAGTTTAGAAGGATTTGAAGGCAAGATTTGTAGACCCACGATTCTAGGAGATTCGAGAAATATGTGACAAAATGAAAAATGTCTCCATGGTATCAACATGTAATGGATGTATTTTACTCAGAGTTTGCGATGAATTTCTTACCTTTTGGAGGATGTCTGGAAGAACAATGAAAACATAATATTTGAATGTTTTACTTCTGATACTAGAATCTTTTTCCTAACATGTTTATCTTCCCTTTATTTTCTCTACTTCTCACTAGACACAAGTATGGAAAATATCAAAACTGCTTCTAATATTATCATATGGTCAGACATTATAGAAAGGGATTTTTTTATTAATAAAGAAATTGAAAATTTACAATTTAAAAGATTCATCTAATATGTCTTAATGCATCAACACATAGCTGGCACTAGCCATTTTCCACCTGATGCAATCTCTGTGGATCTTAAATTCTGCTTCCAATGCCTGCTCTAAATTCTAAAAGTTTTGCTATTTCTAGATTTTGTTGTTCGGTGTGTCACTAAGTTTTAAGAATTCTGCCACATCAGCTTTGTAACCGGGCTTTACCATATATACTTCATATTTCTTCTGAATGTTCATATTACTAAAGAAATAAAATTAGCTACTTTTTCTATACATTCTAAATGCATCTAGTGTTTTTTAGAATAACAGAAATCCTTAGTTAGATTCAAAAATTCTAAAAGGTAAAGGAAACATGTTGAAGAAAGAAACTGAGTACATAAAGAAAATTACTCTTCAAAGATATGTGCAGTTGTTATTATGTAACTTACCTGTTGTTTATGATTTTAGCCTTTCGGTTTATGATTCAGTCGAGGGTTTGGGGCTATTTAACTTTTACCAGATCAAGTAAACCCTCATAGGTACCTCGTGGAGAGGTTGACAAGTTAGAAGATAAGCACGCAGAAACTAGCGAGAGCATTGGTTTGCATATTGAGACAAATCTCTCATTGTTAGAAATGATGCTTAAAAAGAAGGAAATCGATATAAACTAATCTAAATGTTTGGGAAGGCTTCAAATTCAAATGAAGGATGAATATTTTGTTGAGTGTTGTTGTTATATTTATGTTTTGTAGCTTTTAATGTGTATCCTAATATCCTTTAAGAATCAATGTCATAAATTAAACTGTGAAAATTTATTAGCTTTTGATTTTAATAGGCTTTTTTGACAAATATTGTTAAAAAATAAAATTTAATAGTGGCCATGTAAATCCATTATGAATAAGGTTATCTAATTACCTAATTTAATTATTTATAACTAACTGCTTACCCTTAAAAATTAGTCTACGTATTAAAGCGAGTTATTGCCTTTCATTAACACTCACTGTGGTCACAAGATAAAATACAAAAATGTAAAAATTCAAGTAAAACTTATTCTTTGCATTTAGTGAAACTTAAAAATAATATAAAACAACCTATCATCTCTGGTACTTTAATCGCTTATTGGAACATTAAAGTATATTAACTGGGCTACAACCCCTTGGAACTCTACACAAAGCTATGACACTAACTGCATCAAACAGAGCCTGACTAACTTTCAACACTTCCCAACTGTGTCTACATCAGGCCTTTCAGGTTTGTTCTAATGAGCAGGTCTCTCTCTAGACAAGCAACAGCGGTGACAACCTTCAGTCTTTTGTTATGAGTCATGCTGATTATGATCTTACTTCTCATTTAAACCTATGCCTTTTGACATAAAATCTACCTGCTATTTATTAAACTTCAAGACTGAGTATGTGACAAAATGAGACAAAAAAAAAAAAAAAAAAAAAAAATCGACATAAAGCTAACTATTAGTAAAATGTAAATGTCACTTATCTTCTTTCAAAATATGTCCAACTGTTATAAGTGTAAAATATTTAATGCTACTTGATAAATTGCATAAAGTGTATTTTATTCTCAAACTTATTAATAATTATGTTAATTAATTCATGTTTAGTAATAATGCATACTACTCAGGGATCTATTTTATTTTTAGAATGGTATTACAAAAATGAAAATCAGCATAGAATAATATTTTTAATTGAATTTATTTAGTTCTCATTTGCTCATAGGTCCTTAATTTTTTCATTAATGGTCCTTAAAAGTCCTTAATTTCCGTGTGCAGAAATGTGTACGAACCCTGTTAAAGTGCCCCATGGGGCAAAGACACTATACATTTAAAACATCCATGTCTTCTCCGGAATTTGAGCCTGGACCATTCTAATATGATAGTTAGATTCTCAAACCACTCTTAGGTACATTGAGATGCATGTACTATATTCCAAGTTTCAGGACAGTCCTTAACTTCTCTTAGTTAATAAGATAATTTTATATGTTTAGACCTTTTTTCAAAAGGGTTTATTTTAGATTTACACCGAGCCGAATGCGAGTTACAGAAACATTTAATACATGCTTTTTTTTCAGCATTTTTCTTTTGTTCATTCACCCCCTCCAAAAAACTTAAATGTTTCAGATTTTAAATTATGTCCAAAGGGGTGTTTTTTAACATTTTGTGTGTTATATTTATTTATTAAATATTAGATTCTTCACACTTAAACCATAAAATTCGTTTAACAGCAATATCGCAAAATGAGCATATCTTTAGAATTTCCGATACAGAGACTCGCACACTGGAGATAAAAATATTTTTTCTGTACAACATTGCCATTGCTCGCTTTGAAATCCTTGAGTTTGTTAATCAAAAATTCATTAAAGTTTTACAAAATATGAAATCAATAATAAAACAAATTCCAAATTTCAAACTTGGTCTTCCACATGCCCATATTCGTAGCAGGATTACATCATTCAAAATTCGATGGCTCTATGTCCCATTGTTTTATCATATTGCAAGAAATATACATACATTTATGCAGATTTTTCATTATTTAATTTCTTCAAATATAATGCAGGACTCTAACATTTGGTGGCAACAGTTTGAAAAGTGATTTGCCATTTATAGTGATTCAATGCAAAATCGCAAAACAAAAACAATAGTTCTTCAGGGACAAAACCCATTTGGACCTAAAAAAAAGATGTATTTCATAATCATTAGACTTATTGCACATATTTGGGAAGAAAGAATTGCTTAATCTCACAACTGCTAAAGGGTTAACAGCCACTAAGGTAAAAAAAAGTTATTCCTGTTAGAGTTATTTAGTAAATCCTATTGTCCTTTTCTGTCTTAATAACTGATGATACAAATCATAATTTCATACCATTAAATTAAATACAACTACATAAATGCTGGGCCAGTTGATAGAGATTTTAAATAAACAAATTTTTTTATTTTTGGTAATGCTGAATTTAAATTAATTACATTCTCAAATACATTATAAAACTATAACCGCTAACTGATATTACTGTAAGTTTTTTTTTTCTTGTGGCTACAGGAATGCTACCTGAACTGTTTTGCTTATATGCATATTATTTTAAATAATTTGCTTTTTTTACTTTATAATTAATAAATTTTTCATATTATTCTTAATAAACTTCATCCCCATTAAGTTTTTTTTATCAGTAATTAGGTCTGATCTCCAATGCATAAAGTATTATTTTTCCAGTTAATTGCTCATTGATAATTTTCAAAAGCATCACATCATTTTTTATAATCTGCTATTCTAGTAACTTGTGTAATTTTGTATAAATATAAGTTAAACTAGCTCTAACTATGAAGTGTTTCTTCTTAAACTTTATTAAAGCTTCCATAATTGGCAGATTAGAACAAGGAGATTGCTGCACTTAAAACAAAATCCAGAAATAAATGGTGCTTAAATTCAGTCTAAAGATCTACTTTTCCAAGTTTGAGGCCCTAGAAAAAAGTGAAGGGTCCATGTTCTAATTTCCACATGCAGTAATCACTTTGGCATCAATAAAGTAAAACACCTTCATTTATTGAATATTTTTTAATCTTTATTTTCACAAATCTTTGTAACATTCAGTTCTTTTACAAAGTCAATCACACATAATTTAACGCATAAACTTCTAAGGCTATCATTTATTCCTACTTTGTAATTCTTCCATTTCTAATGAGCAATTAAATTTTCTTTTTTCACCTCATGACTATAAATTCAGGAAAGCTTGTGACTGTCTCATGTAATAATGCCATAAACAGTTTTCTCAGCATTTCTAAATGAATACAAAACATAAAAATATTACAAAATTAGTGAATAAATTCTGAACTGAGGAAAGCTCATCGATTGATTTCTTATTGTTTGGCAGCTGCAGCTGCTTTTTATTTTCCTTTGAATGACTTAACAAAATTTTGACTGTCTAACTTTTAGCTTGATTGGCCTTATCTTCATATAATGTTTCTTTTGTTACATATTTTATCAATTAACCTTTTTTAGGATGAAAGATTTTGGTGAAATTATTGGAAAGACACTCTCTGACTGTTGGATTGTTGGGAAGCTTTCTGACCAGCGAGAATTGTATGTTGTTTTACAACAAAAGAATGCCAATATTGTTGATGTGAATGGTATGTATATTTTAACTTTATTTATTTAAAATTTTTACATTATTTAAATGCTCATTAAAAAATATAGGAAAATAAAAAGAGGGATGTTTAAACATTGATGTAATACATATAACAGTGCAGAATAAAATACTTTTAGGGATTATTCCTTTCTTATTAATTAATTATTTTTACATATTTGTAACAGAAGCTAATGTTCGTTAAACTTAAAAATTTTCAAAAGCAAACCAATTGGGTTGGGGATTTTGCTATTTCTTTTTTGCTTCGTGCTTTCTTTTTGGGCCTCGAAAATACTTGCTTTGGGGCCGCATGTGGCCGTGAGTTGGACACCCTTGGTTTAGAACATCAAGAATTTTAGCACAAGAACAGGATTTTTGCACAACATGTTTCAGCACATACCGTTTGACATTATATGAAGAGGAGGGGTATTGTGGTAAGGTGTCCATGCCTTCAAAAATAGATAACTTTACATAACAGGCATATGTGGCTGCAGTGGTGCATTAGATGCTAGATATAGATAAGTATTCTGTTTTTAGATGGATCGCAATTCTGCTACCACACCAGTAGGTCATGTGTAGTTTGGGCGATATTGGGAATGACAGACATTATGATCCTTGTGTTATGTATCATCAGTCCTTCACTCGGAAGTATGATTTGCGATGCATTGGAATTTACTTTTACCCATCTAAAATGCATTGCTGGTATGTTCAACAGCCACTGCTTCATTCCTGTTGTCATTCCTTACTTCAAGGCTTGCCTTTCTGCAGATTTCAACATGCTACCATATGTGGCATACAAGATTAAAACATTTTTCAATGTCTACGAAGTCATACTGCTGCCTTTGCCTGCATGTTCTCCTAATATCTCATCCTTCAAACACATCTAGCTGATGACTGGCAAATGAATGGCTCAGCATACCAGCATACACTAACCAAGGCTATGTCTGATGAAATTTGGCAATGCATGGAAACAGCGTGGACTGACATACTTCAAGCATACCTCCAAAGTATCTTTATTTCAATGTTGAGATGTTTCACTACAGTTACTTCTAGCCAGAGTAACTATACAAAATACTGATTTCTTTGCATATTGCAATTTGAGTGAGAGTGTAATTTTAACCAATTTACTCGTGTAACTTATATTATTTGTCTAATAAATATTGCTGTGATATCTTTTGTTTCTCATGGCATTGCATTCTGAATGGCCAGCAATGTATGAGGATGCAGATGATGTTGCATGAATATGAACTAAACATTGTTGTTTGCAGGTATGTTCAGATTTGAAAAATAAAAGAATTATCAGCTCTGCACTCAGTTATTGCTTGTTTAAGAATGATTTCAAGGTTGGTGAATGGTTTTGTATTTGTAATAATACTCTGGACCCCATTGCAACAATATAATTTGTCCTCAATGAGGTCAATGCAGTGGAAGTATTCTACAAGTGGTTCATGATCTATTGGATACTGAGTTGCAATTATTTAATGCTTTACTTTTAAATGATGTGCTTACTTCTGAATATAGTTAATAACATTGGTCTGGATTGCAAGTCTCGCTGCAACAATATAATTTGTCTTCAATGAGACCAATGCAATGGAAGTATTCTACAAGTGGTTCATGACCTATTGGATTCTGAGTTAAATATAATTCTTGTTGCTGAACCCATTTATTAATCTTGCAGAGAAAGTATATATTCTGTGATTAGTATCGCTAGATCCCATATCTGTCACCTTTTATCAGGGATTAAATTTTATAGCTTCTTTTTAAAACGAGAGCAAAGCAGCAAGATTATGATGGTTTGTATGATAATATCTGTCACTTTTATTTTAGGCTGTTTTATTTCATATTGCATCAATATAAGCAAGTTGCAGTGTAGTGAAAGATGCATGTTTTGTGGAATTAAATATGTTATAGTTTCTGTTGTCAATAAGTAACTTGAAATATGCAAGGTGGCAAGGTATATAAATAACTGCGAGATGAAATTATTTTGATTTAATATTTGAAGTATTAATTTCAGTAACCAAGTAAGATGGTCATCGATGAAAATATTCAAGTCAGTCATTATTTATATTGTTTTGATGTTACTGCCATGAAGTCTGTTTTTGATGTCTATCTGGATTGACTAATTGATGTGAAATTTTTCAGAAACATGCCTTTTTTTTTTTTTTTTTTTTTTTTTTTTTTTTTTTTGGTTTTTTTTTTTTTTTTTTTTTTTCTTTTTTTTTTTTTTTTTTTTTTTTTTATTTTTTTTTTTTTATTTTTTTTTTTTTTTTTTTTTTTTTTTTTTTTTTTTTTTTTTCTTTTTTTTTTTTTTTTTTTTTTTTTTTTTTTTTTTTTTTTTTTTTTTTTTTTTTTTTTGTTTTTTTTTTTTTTTTTTTTTTTTTTTTTTTTTTTTTTTTTTTTTTTTTTTTTTTATTTTTTTTTTTTTTTTTTTTTTTTTTTTTTTTTTTTTTTTTTTTTTTTTTTTTTTTTTTTTTTTTTTTTATTCAAATTCAATAATCTTACTCATTATAAATTTTTTAGAACTTTTTTAATTATATACAGAAATTTATGAAAAAATTTTAGGACACTTTCTCGACTCTCTGTCTATTAGAAATAATATATTTATGTTCTGTTGCTCAAGTTGCTGTTAGATCTATTGTATATCGGGCCAGTCTTGCTCATGCCATGTAATTTTGTCCATTTGTGATGGTCATACATCATCTGCAGAGGCCAGCTTATGCACTTAATCATTGTTATTAGGGAATGATTATTGTCATATATCAAATTCATAATGTGGAGCTATCTTATGGCAACCCTTTCATTTATATATTTATTAAGATACTTTAAGAAATGCAGAATCATTTTATAATGAGAAACTATTTTATATTCAAAACCATTGCAGTATTTAATGCAAGATGCAGATACAGATTAAAATGCTTCAGAGATGAATTTCTCAATGATCCTATCATAAGTGAATGTAGATTTGCCAAATACTTTTTTCAGTGTAATCAATGGATTCTAATGAACTAAGAAATTGTTAAGCATGCTATTTTGACAGATTTCATATTTTTATGCATAATGGATGTAGATGGTTGAACTTAGAGTTAAGTAGCGTGTGGAAAATAAATTTAGCTTACGTAATTATTTTTTTAATGTAATAAAATTCAAATTTGAACAGAAACACTTTTATGACTTTACTAATTCTAAGCAAAGAAATTAAAAGTTATCAGTTTAATAATTTTAATGTTAAGTGTACATTTAATACTAAAGTTTCAAATTATTGAACTCATAAAAGTGTTTTTGTAATATAAATGTACATTTAAGACTAAAATTTTTTCAAACTCATGGATTGTAATTTTATTATTATTATTATTATTATTATATTATTTTTACTATATGCATGAAAATTACATTGTAAATTTTTAATTTTATTTCAGAGGAACTGAAAAAACTCAGCATTTCCCATTTCCAAAGCATATTCATCATAGATTAAAACTTTGCATTGTTATTATTTTTTGTTAATGTGATATCTAAGTTATGTAAGTAATTTATAAAGCATATGTAAATATAATTTAAACATGTTATTTATATATATATATATATATGTATATCATGCTTTCAGAAATTTAGTGGTTATAAATGTCCATGGAGTCTATGATTTCATTTTCTTCAATAAAATATATTTTCATACACAAGTGTTTATTTCTCTTTCCCTTGTCTACTTTGTGCTTGTTTTACACTTCATATGATTATGTTTTTCATGCTATTATACATTTATACAGTCCTTAATGTTTCAATATTTTTATCGATTATTTTAACATCTTGATGTAAAGCTTTTATTCCAAATCATTTTTTAAAATGAATTAATTTTACATTACATTTGTTCTTTTCTTGTTTTTGCATTATTCAAAAATTGAATTTGTTTTTGCAGTCTTGCACATGGGAAATAAAAATGCTTTATTTCGAAAACTGCTACTGCTTTATTTCAAATCATAGAATTTGTTAAAAAAAATTGTAAGCATTACAAAATATAAAACAAAAATAGAACTGCCAAACATTAAACTAATTATTATTATGTAAGATCATATTCTGATGCTGAAGAAAGCATTATTGCATATGATGTCATTATATGTCAAAAATGTTTCGTTTAATGTCTTTTAAATAAACACCTGCTGTTGGCAACTTTTTTTGTTTGAGGTTAGGATAACTCACACAATATGTTACTGCCACATTAATTCTTTCATTAATATTGAGAAAAAGCTGTTATACAGTCAAAAGTCGTTAATCCGGACTCATCGGGACTTCGGCGATTCCGGATTATAGATCATCAGTTTAAATTAAGTAAGATGGCATGCAGAAATTCTAAAATTAAAAATATGAAACCATAATTTATGAAATAAAGAACAATTATGATCTAAAGGGTATCAAAATTTACAAAAAAAAAAAGCTTCATATTTATTTGTTTTACTTTATTAAACATTTCTTTCAATGTAAGTTGTTTCGTTTTATGTGATAATACTTTCTCTTTAATTCTATAAACAGATATAATTTCTTGTTCAGTTACAAAGTTCCGCTGTTCAAGTCCCGTTAATTGCTGTGCCGAGAATACCGACTAACTTGTCAATCGAAATTTTTTCGTTTTCACTAACCTCTCTGTCACATTCTTCATGTCTTTATCCATTTTTTGCAGCAATTCCACTTTTTGTTTGTTGGACATCGAAACATACTTTCGTTTTGTAGATCCTTTGGAAGTTCCAGCATCGGAAATTCTATTTGACATAATCGAAAGTTCAAGTTTACTTTTATAAAATTGCTCTTACAGTCTGCAAAAAATAATAAGCGCGATCCAATTCGAAGATTAAGGAACAACGCAATCATTAACATTAACTGAAATAGATAATTAGATAATTTTAGCTTACACCGTCCATTATACATTAAACGCGCAGGCGAAAACGTATTCTGCACTTGCGCACACGCATATGCGCAGTAGTCAAGGTCTTACACGCACACGTAAAACGCCTGTGCGCATGTGCCAACGCGGCGCATGCGCAGAAAGTTTTTAGCTTTGAGGTCCGGATTATGGGTGTCCGAACTAACGACTTTTGACTGTATTAGATTAAATTTAAATCATCATGTCATACATATACATATTAACCTGAAGTGTCAAAAGTTTTTGTTTCTTGATTAGGCAACAAAAAATTATTTATGAACTGGTTGTTACTTGGAAAGAACGAACCGATTTCATTCATATTGAAATGTTTTTATATATTTTCGTTTCATGTGTACTTGTATATTTGGCTTTGACTGTAGCCTGCTAGTTTAGTTATAAATAATGATAAATATACGTAATCTTATCTAAGGCCCCAATTCAATTTTGACATTACATTTTATTAATTTAGAAGTCAAATAACAAAAATCAGTGTTATATTTGCAAATTTTTCACAGAACTAGTTTCAGTGGTTTTACCAAACCATCATCGCAGCTGCCAAAGTGTGCAAATGTATGAGATAAGATATAATGACCTAAATTAATCATAGCTTTACTTTTTAAAGGTGAGCTTATGAGAGACTGCTAGGGACAAGTAAACTAACACATATGGTCCACAGAAGGGTAACACACTTCACCACCATGAGAGAACTTTGCGACAGTGTATGTGTGAAACTGGTCAAGGACGAGTCCTAGTCAGCAGCATTAATTTAGGTCGCTATAATCTTATTCATTTGCACTTTGGCAGCTGAGGTATAGTGACCTAAATTAATCATAGCTTTACTTTTTGAAAGGCTAAAGGTGAGTGAGAGACTGCTAGGGACAAGCAAACTAACACATATGGTCGGTCCGCAGGAGGGTAACACACTCCACCACCATGAAAGAACTTTGCGACAGTGTATGTGTGAAACTGGTCAAAGATGAGTCCTAGTCAGCAGCATTAATTTAGGTCGCTATAATCGTATCTCATTCATTTGGACTTTGGAAGCTGAGGAAGATGGTTCATTAAACCATTGAAACTAGTCCTGAGAAAATTTGCAAATGTAACACTGATTGTTGTTTCATTTCTAAATTAATATTTGTTCAGGATGTTATTTTACCTTAATTACATTTTATCTTCAGTTACAGCCACCTTGTAACTCAAAATGACTTTGAAATGCACTTATGTTTTAACTAAATACATACAAGAAACATAACATTAAAATTCAAACAATTAGGAATATCATGTAATTCTTAAAAACAACAAACTAGCCAATGATATAGATAAATGTAGTTTTTTTTTTTTTTTTTCCCAAATAAGTAAAATTAAAAAAATAAATTCAAATAAAAAATTTTCAGTAAAGCAGTTAACTAGTATGTTATAAAATCCACATGAAATACACACAAGATATTTATTTTTCAGTAATCAAAATATTAAGACACATAACATTTATGATAAAACAATATGACGAAAAAGCATTAATTTAGAAGTCAAATAATAACAACAATTCCTATCAGATAAGATAGGAATGGCTGGACTGGAGACCTGTTTGGTAAAGCCATCAAAACTAGTCCTGGGAAAATTTGCAAATATAACTGATTTTTGTTGTTTGAATTCTAAATTAACACATAGTAATGTTTAATAATAATAAAAAAAAATCTTATGTGCATTTCATGTTGCCTGTTCTCTGATTTCACAACAAAATCATCTTTGAGATGATATATAGCTTTGAAAGAACCCACCAAGGGGGAAAAAAATTTATCTTCAAGTTGCAACTCTTGTTGCTTGAATACACAAAAAATTCTTATTAAAATTTTTTTCCAATTTGAAATACAGTTTATTACATACAACCAGTGATTTAATTAATTAATTAATTTAAATGCCATGTCATGATGAGTTTTCTACCAATGAAATTAATAGCAAACCTATATATTTAACTGTCACTGAAAATTAAATGCATCATGACTTGCAGAATTATCCAATATTATATAAAAATGTGTAATACATAAAAATGCATAATGCAATATTATATAAAAATACCTTAATATAAGATTTTAAAAGTATATTGCTTTTCCTCAGCATTTGCTAGGCAAGAAAAATGAAATCCCTTTCAAACATTTTAAAATAAAATTTGAATAGATTATGTAACATATAAAATATTTATTGTTACTAAATTTATTTATAGAGCAAAATATATTTAAAAAAAATCTATGAAAATAAGAATGTGAATTTATTTTTCTAAATAAAAATTTGAGCTTAAAATCCAGCAAGACAAAACTTCTCAATAATTGCATTTTCAGGTCCACTCAAAAATTACATACAATACACTTTTTCTTAAACACCTTCAAGAGGTGTTGTTGTTTTCAATTAGTGATTAAAATCACACACATATTTGTGACAAACAAGATAAGCTATTAACTTATTTTATTTGATTCATTTTTTTAAACTGGGCCCTTAAATAGGACAACTATGATGTATATACATATTCATGAAAAGCACAATCCATTTTTTACAATGATAAATGCAACATAATACAAAATGATTAACATCATACGATTTTTCTTAATATTAAATGTATTTGAAAAAAAATTAAAATCACATATCATCATATCATATGTCATAAAATTTCTGAAGTTTGTTTTGCTTGCTTTGAATTCATTTTCTTCATACTAAATGTCTGTGTTCTTTTGTCAAACTCAAGAACTACACATCCTTTATGACCATCAAATCTATTTTTTGTTACCTGAAATAAAACTAAGTATTTGCATTATGGTAAATTTATATACAACATAAAAATAATCAGATTTACATAAAAATTAGCCTGATGCAACTAATAAGACTTCTGACTGCATTTTTCATCACACAAAATAGTTATTACGACTAGTATCAGCTTCATAACAATTGAATTAAAAAAAACTGATCTGATCTTAACATGCTTCATATATTAGAAGCCGAAATACCTTCATGAGGGATATTTATTCATAGATATGTGTACTACATAATTAAGTATTGCAAAGGTTTCACATTTTAGGAACTAAACTTGCTTGAAATACAAACCAGGAAGAAAATATGCACATACCTTCCTTCTCTTTTTAAATAAAAAATTATACTAACTGTTAGCTCCTAATAAAACAAAGTAAGTAGAATATTTTTTATAATTTAATCACATTTTTAATTACAGAAACACATTTTCAATTTAAATCACATTCAATTTTCAAATATAATCACATTTTCAATTAAAGAAATATACGAGGGTTGGAACTTTAATAGTGGCAACTATTTATTTACAAGGAATACAAAAGTGATTCATGTCACCATGTTTTACAGTCCTTCAATATAGTTGCCAGCATTGTGTACAACCCGTTTCCAACGATATGTGGAAGTCGCAGAATACCTGTAGCAGCGCCTGTTTTGTTGATAGTTTGAATGGACGGGTCTACTGCCGCAAGAATCTCAGGAACAGTTTGGAAGCGAGTGCCACGAAGTGGTTCCTTCATCTTAGGAATTAAGTCATAGTCACAAGGGCTTAGATCTGGGGAGTATGGTGGATAGTAAAGCACTTCCTAGCCCCATCGCCTGAACAAATCAGTCACAGCTTGCGCTGCATGCAGCCGAGCATTGTCAATCGTCATGCAAAATGAGAGGAGCGTTCTGCAGAAAGTGTCGCTGTTTTTTTCTCAAAGCTGGTCGGAGATTGTGCTCCAAAAATGAGCAGTAATACTGCACAGTGACGGTCTGCTGTGGGGGAACAGTATGCGTTAGGATGACACCATCACAGTTGTAACACGAGAATCACCATAACTTTCACATTGCTGGGGTTTTGACAAAATTTCGAATGTCGTGGTGACCTGACACCATTCGTTTGATTGGCGTTTCAGTTCTGGCTGGTACGATCGGGCCCAAGTCTCATCCAGCGTAATGATATGGCCGTAAAAAGCATCTCCTTGCTCTCGCTCTCATATAGCGCTCCAGGTGGGTTCGGGCAGCATCGTATCGTAGCCATTTCTGCATTTCCGTCAATTGATGTGGAACCCATCGTGAAGCAATTTTTCTTATGGACAGGCATTCCTTCAGAATGTGCAGCACAGTCGTATGCGCTAATCCTATTTGTCCGGCCAGCTGACGAATCCGTTTGGCGGCAATCACTGTTCCATTAGTGCGGCAACAGCTTGCACGTCTGCATCGCTGACACTCGGACGACCTGGCCGCAGCATGTCTGCCACGTTGTTGGCGTCCTTCATTGAATGCTTTCACCCATCTTGCTATGGTTCTGTAAGGCAATGCAGATTCCCCGCAAGCCTCTTGAAGCCCTTGATGACACTGTCGTGCTGTACGACCTCTAGCACATTCAATTTTTATCCAACATGGTTGTTCTTGTTTTGAAAACATCCTGACAACACTTACTTTAGACCGCAAGCTAATACAAGGATTCGTTCTTCGCGTCACTCCACATGTGCATGACGTAGGCAGGACGAGTCTTTTTGCTGAGAGGTAAGGTAGGTATGTAGTTTACGTGTGGTATATGCGATATTCTTTGGTTTTGTTGCGTAGCATTTTTTCAGCTGTGTTGCCACTATTAAAGTTCCAACCCTCGTATATATATATATGCACACATATATTATTACAGCCTAGATGCTGCAACTTTATTTTAATACCATATCTAGACTTTTTTAATAAAAATTATAGTGTCAAATTAAAATAACTATCAGCCAGTATTTCTTAGAAAGAGTATCCTTATATAGATACACCTTGCATACTTTACTGCATTCCATAAAACAAAAGCAAAAAAAAAGTCTTTACAAAAAGTAAAAATGATTGTAAATAATGAAATCATTATACAAAAGCCATATTTCAACTGATAATATTGTTCTTAAAAAGAGTGCAGTGGAAGATGAACAAAATACAAAAACATGCAGTATAAAGACAAATTCAAGCATGAGAAATACTGAAACAAGCCAATATAAAATTTTAAATTAGTTAAAAAATGCAACCTTAGTTTGGCATAAATTTTAAATAAAACTCTATTGATACCAAAGGTGATCAGACACATATCCTCCTTCTTCACAGGCAAAAGATTTTGCTCCTGAAGTAAAGGGACTTGTGCCTGATTGTCCTCAACAATAGAGTTTCATTCAAATTAATGCCACATTAAAGTTGATTTTTTGAGTAATTTCAAATCTCAAATATCTGAAGACAATACATAAGATATAAAATACTTCAGAATTACTGCCAAGCTATATAGTTAAGATACAATAATACACCAAACAAGTATTAATTTAGAAGTCAAACAGCAAAACTCAGCGCCACATTTTCAAATTTTCATAAGACTAATTTCAATGGTTTTACCAAACCATCACCTTCAGCTGCCAAAGCGCAAATGAACGAAATAAGATATAGTGATTAGATATAAAAGACTGGACAGGAGTTAAGCTACTGGCGCCATTTGTTGACGAAACGAGGACTATAATTTTAAACATAATTTCCTTAAAGGCTGAAGGCAAATATGGATTGGAATTAGAGCCGTTAACTAGGACAGAAAGATTTTTTTAAATGTGAAATGCCTCTAAAAAATTAAATTCACCAATGAAAGATGTTTTTTGAATAATTTTGTCTGCAGAAAAATTGAAAGTGTGATTTTCGGACCAACAATGCTGGGCAACAGATTACTTCTGTGTTTCCTTTTTTCTAACATATGCTTCATGTTCTTTAATGCGAAATTTTAAGGCTTTCTTAGTTTGACCAATGTAAATTAAACCATATTAGCAAGGAATCTTGTAAATACCTCAGGAATTCATATCCAGAATAGGGCCCTTGAGTATGAAACTCGGAATTTTATTGATGAGAGAATAAACAACCTGAAAGTTAAATTTCTGTAAAATACGTGCAATTTAATAGCTCATTGGTAGAAAGAAGAAAATGACAGCAGAATTCTTATGATCTCCTGAAGCAAGATGTGCCATTTGGTGTGTTGAGATGAGAATTTTTTAACTGCTTGATTATTAATGTTGGGTGAGAAGCCCCTGTCAATAGCTACTGCTTTTAAATAATTTAGTTCTTCATCAAGAGACAGTTTGGAAGAGCAAACTTGAAGTGTATGAAAAACATAGGAATAAAATGAAGCTAACTTTTGTTTAGTCGAATGACATGATTTGATGTGTGGTGGAAGGTAAACCGTTTTTAGAACTGTTTTATAACAACTTTTTTTTATAACAAGGTATGTAAATCACCTCTGACAATAGCTTCTCTTCGCTTGATCTTTATAAATGTCAATGAAACACCTGTGCAGTATGATGGAGGTGAAGAAGATGATTTACTGCACAGGTTAATGAGAGCTTTACTGCTTTTTAAATGAAGCCTCATCGTCAGGTGTTAGGGGCGCTGGATCGTCATGGGCAGCTTTGGATAGAGCTGAGGTAGCTGCAGGAGGAGCTTCTGCAGAATGTTTTTGGCACAAAAGGAAAATCGTGATGGGGAGTTGTGACCGTTATTTTTTTTCTGAGCAAAGATGCCCTTGCACAATGCCATCACATCGTCAATACGGTTACAAACTTCTACGGCTCTGACCATGTTGTTGTCGATTTTTTGTGCCCTTTGTTGCAGAGCTCTTGCAGGTTTTTAAGGTAAGGCCACGTTCTTCAGCTTCGTTGTCGTCACCGTCATCAGCTACCTCCTCTTCTTCCTCACTCGCCGATCTTGTCATTCCGGGGTTCGAGTGGCACTCGATCAGTGTGTTTACTTCTTCTGTCATCATGTCGGAGAACCATGCAGTAGCTACCAACCTAGCCAGCCTCACACAGTTTCCCGAGTTGGGAGGGATATCAAGTGGCGGGATGCTAGCCAGACAATCAGAGACGTGGATTTTGAATTGTGTAAGCACTACCTGCCTTTTGCTGGTGTGCAGGCAACTTTCATGCCATAATTCCTCAATTTTGAATTTTTGATGAATATTTTTGAACAATCTATGATGTACTGAGGCCACAATAAATGAACCGTGAAATAGCAAGGGATCACTGTAGTACAAACAATTTTATATGATTTATATACAATTTTATATATATATCCAAACAAGAGATCTAATGAAATTGTATTTTACTATTTCTGAACGGAGCCTTGGATTTAATCTTATTCAAGAGATAATGGAAATTTAGCAGTAGGTTTCTATAGATAGTTACCAACACAAATAAGTCACAGAGTCTTGAACATGAATTAAAATTACTCTGTATGAAAAATCAATAGAATTACAAAAAATGAGCTAAATCTGTGGGCCAAATTCAGGCAAAGTTCATGGGCACTGTGCAAAATACAATTCCAAAATAATTTCATTCTAATTATACAGTCTTATAATCAAAACTTTATGGATAATAAGATACTAAGGCTTAATGTCTATGTATTGTCAGAATGTGTAAATTCATATACACTGAAATGAAAACATTGTCATCAAGAGATCTGCAAATAAGGCATCCCAGAAACGAAAATTTTTCCCTTCAGCTACTCACAAAACTAAGTTTTCAAGTTACAGTTTACACAGTAAAAAAAAAAGAGAGGGGCACTGCTGCAGGAATAATAATTTAAGTGTTATCCATGTATATCTATTCTAAAATCTGAGAGTTAATCTGAAATCAAAAATTAAACATATATTATTTTCAAAATCCTTCATTCATCTACAGTACAAAGTCTGAAATCCAGACTAATTGGGACTTTGGCGATTCTAGATTTGGGATTTTTCCGGATAATAGATCATCAATTTAAATCTGGTACAATAGCATGTAGAAATTATACAATTAAAAATATGAAATCGTAATTTATGAAACAAAGAGCAATTATGATCTAAAGGGTATCAAAATTTACAAAAGAAAGCTTAATATTTATTTGTTTACTTTATTAAACATTTCTTTCAATGCAAGTTGTTTAAGTTGCTTCCACAAAAAATTCAAAAAGTTCCTTTTTTTTTTTTTTTTTTTTTTTCTTATATCATATACAGTTGACTTTCCAATGCCATATTCCTCGCATAATTTTGAGATGGATATGTCTTTATCCATTTTTTGTAGCAATTTCACTTTTTGTTTAATGGACATTGAAACATGGTTTCACTTTGTAGATCCTTTGGCAGCTCCAGAATTGGAAACTTTTTTTGACATAATCGAAAGTTCAAGCTTAGTTTTTATAAAACTGCCGTAATAATAACAGTCTGCAAAAAATAATAAGCTGGATCAAACTAAAAGATTAGGGAGCAGTGCAGTCCGCTACTGAAATGCCTTAGAATCAGTAAAGATAATTTTAGCCTAGCTTAATAACATCCATTATACATTATTGGCCGTGTATCAAAAGATTGGCGACAAAAGCCAAGTTGTTTCGCTAAATTTTCTCTTATTCCTATTGCGTAAGTTATTTACTATACCTACGTTTATTTCTTGCACATGCTTCAAACTAATCCGAGTCCTGAATAAATAAACTCCCACATATACTTAAGGCTTTATCTAGGGCCGGTGCTCGATACTGTCTGGTGCAGTCTCTACGGGTCCTAAATTCTGCTACAAAGTGCTTTCCTAAGTTCTAAATTTTCCCTGTGCCTAAATTTTGGATCCGAGTGCTTTCTCTAAATCATAAATACTTCTCATCCCTTAATTTTGCCGCTCGGTGCTTTCCCAAATTACAAAAATTTTGTCTTCCCTAAATTCTGCCGTCCGATGCCAACATATTCTGCCGCCGCTTGTTTATGGTGAATAACATATAAGTTATTTTTAATTAAAAAGCACTAAATATAATCTTTTAGCATATGAGCTTCATTAACAAAATCTATTTTTATCATATGAAAAGGAATTTTTGTTTAATTTTTCCTCATCAACATTTCTTAGAGCATTTAAAAATCTATAATCATAACCAAGCATAATGTTAGCATAAAAGATTGCCATACTCTTGTTATTCAATTACTAAGATTAGACATCACAGCATGAGTTATTACTGAAGTTGTCATGTATTGATAAACATGTGGTGATGAAAGCAAAATGTAATAAACAATGACTCGCTAGGCCAGCGTCAGGGATATAAAATAGGTGAATGTTTCGCTTTGAGATGTATGCCAAGCAGATACTCAGCTACGGAGCCAAATTATTAATCTCGCAAATTTATGCTTACATGATTGTTTTTACATAATGAGGTATTTTATTTAGTGCCTAAGTGAAATTAAGAATCAGAATTTTTAAGTGAAAATCTCCACGTTTTATTATGGAAGGAAAAATCAAATGTGCATGCGTAAAGCATTAATAAAAAAAAAAAAAAAAAAAAAAATGTTTGTGGCTTTGACGTCCGGATTTTAGATCATTCCGGATAATGGACGTCTGGATTTTGGACTTTATACTGTATTAGCAGTGGCGCTGGATACTGAGGAACCCATGGCAATATTAGTAATCTATTTGAGGAACAGGTCATACAGGTAGAAGAAAAAGGAATCCAAGTAAACAACAAATTATTTCAGGATAATGGAAGACGGCTAGATGAGGGATGGCCTTACAAAAAGCCTCTGAGTAAATTAAATCCTCAATAGAAATTTCATGGTTACAGGTAAAAGAACAATATTGTTTGGAACCATAAGGGTAGGATTCCCAAAGAAAAGGAAAAAACATGTCAGGAAATTTAGAGAAGTGGTATGCACAAGAATTTAAAAAACTAATGAGGACCATAATTATATCCCCTTTTTTTACACCTTAGAAAGATCACAAAATTAATAAGCCCTAAACAGCAATACATGTCAATTTCCTTATATAAATGAAAATACGTTTTTTAGCATGGAAAATGAATGAAAAATTCATAAACACATTCATTTAAACTTATGAAAAAAAACATTGTTTTAAAACCTAGTATGTGCATAGCACCCTCTGAACTAAATGAAATGTACTTAAAGGCTATAAACAGCCAATAATAATAGGGCTTTCTAAAAGAAGCACTGCAAATAACAAAAGTTAAGCAGTTATGATGACCTTGCGAACTTTGATCATGGATGTTTTTTTGATGTAATTTCATCTTTAAGGTGGCAACAGCTTCAGTATCCTTAAGGGCAATAATATTTCATTCTACAGCCATGGATATAAAATACTTATTGATCCTGTTACTAAAATCTCATAAAAAGAAAAGCTTAATTTATATGTAAACAAAGGCTGATTATTTCACAGAAACAACATAGAGAAATGTGCCCGTGCATTATTCTGGAGCAAAATAATGAGTCGAATGATTATTACCTGCAAATACTGCCTATTTTTAGTAGTTTGCAATATAATAATATTATCTGCTTCTTGAGTTGCTTTTGCTGTCCCTGATATTGATGTATTATTCAGTTCTGAGTATTCTGGTTCCTAAAAAAGATTTAGTACTGTAGAATATTTCAATAACTAAAATATTAGAAACATTACAAATTGCACTTCAAATAAAGACTGGGGTTACACAAAATTTGTCCTTTATACTTTTCAAAACCAGGTGCAGAGGATTACCATGAAAATTATTAAATAAATAACAATCATATAACATATCACAGGCTATATCAATTTCTAATTGCCACTAATGTCTGATAATTCAGAAATTCTAATATTCAGTGAAGATAACTTGTAAGGTTTTACATGAATTAATCTAATTATCTTATCTTGGGTTTACCATAAATTTCACGCTTATCAACTCTTATAAGAATGCAAATTAGTTAAAGTATGTAAATGCAGAATTCTTGAGTCTGCGAAACAGCTTTTGTAGATCCTCTGCCCTCTGAACCCCCAAGAGGATAACAGATGTGGCATTGTGCTTAAGCTATTATTGTGTGTCCTCTGGTGGAGAAAATCTACTATATGTGCTTCACGGCCAAAGTCCAGAAGGACGAGTGACATAATTTAAACAACTGTTGTTGAGTTACATGGGCATATGAAGTCTTTGAAATCCTGTATTTTTACAAGTGTATCCTAAACTTCGAAATTCCATTGCATAAATTATAGGATTATTTACATCAATTTCATAGAATTACATACTGTGCCAGATATTTTAGCAACTTTTTACAGAATATCATACTATTTACAAAATAACGGCTCAGACAACGTTAGGATGCATTCATGTTAAGTAATATCTCAAATTGCCTACTTTAACCACAGGAGCACTAGTCCAAGTCTCTAAAACTGAAAATATGTAGATAATGCAGGGTAGAGCAATGCTCAGTGTACAGTTGCATCAACATGGATCTTTCTCATTTTAGGGCTGACAAGATTAGCGGAAAATAGTCATTGCTGATGCGCACAATGGAATCCCATCGCCTTTGCCAGTTGTTATTCACATTTATTTTGAGTTTTCTTTTCAGTGTTGACTACAGGTTGATAATATGTCCTATAACAATATACACATTATGCATGTTATTGCTACCTTTGCCAATATATGTACCTTTTAATTTCCCTCGTGTCCTGTGCTTTGACCACTGCATGGTGATGAAACCATAGCTACAAAGAAGAAGTTCCTTAATAGCATATACCAGTTCACTTTTAGAGACACCACCAGTTATATCTTTTCAGTACTAGGCATGTTATCTGTGTATATAACTGTCCTGAAGCTTTTTCTGACAGCCCACTTTACTGCTTTGAAAACTGCAAATAATTCTGCCTGAAAGACACAATTAAGGTTTCTTAATCTACTTGACCATTGAAAAATATATAACTTCTTGCAGAACCTGAAAAAATACTTCTTTGCATTTTCTTCCCCATTTTCATGTAGAAGACACTATGTATTATCCTTAGTTTTTGGTATATATTTCAAATTCTGCTTTCCCCTTCTGCTCTATCATTCAAAAAAGCTTCACAGTTATATTGTGCAGGATGGCACTGTCTTCTGATGGTCAGTGTTTAGAAAGTAGCACTGTAAGTGATGATGCTTACTCTTAATCTTAAGACTTTTAGTCTTATGCACTGTCACATATATTCTGAGGCCTGCAAGAATGAGTACTACATTTGATGCAGTACTGTATAGCTCTGGTGATTAAAAGGGTTATCTGCCTTTGCATGCTGAGAATTATTCTGACTTTATGTGTATTTAATGTGGTACATCAAGCTGAATAATGCCAAGATATTTTAGTGTTTCGCTTATCTTGACTGTGTACTCTTTAATTTTGAAAATTAAAAGCCTGATTAGGGTTTTGGAATTTCCAGTTACTATAGAAACATTTTTTCATATTGCAGCATCAGCTTATGCTGGAAACACCAGTTCACGAGACAGCTAATGCTTGATTTGCCCTGGTCTCTAATCTTCTCTTTCTGCTACTATTATCCGGATGTTTTTTGCATATGCTCGTGCATGTATATTCAAATTGAAATTGTTCAGTAGATTAAGTGCTCCATTCACTGTGGCATTCCACAATGGTCAGACCAAGGCATGATCCTTGTCAGTGCTTAAATTGTGCTAGAGCCCACCGAAGCCCAGCTCCGGTGCTTCTCTTTTTAAGATAAATTACAATTTTAGCCGGAGCACACCGGAGCCCTAAATAAGATGAGCTCCAGTACTTCCTTTTATAAAACTGAACCAAAATTTAAAGGGAAAGAAATTTAGAATTCCTAACATTTTAGTTTAACAATAAGCAGATCTTGCAATACTCTATTTCTCTAGAAATACGAAAGGGAAAGCATAACTAGTAACTTTACATTTAGGAGTCTGATTCAGGACTCATTTACCCCTGACACCCATCTGCTTGATGGCTATAATTATATCAACAGAGAGCCGCGGTCAAAGAAAATGTTTTCTCTCACCAAGATTCCCCTCATTTTTTGTTTCCACCCACTCATACCCTCATTCTGTTTCCCCCTGGAATTTTCATCAGCTATACTTTAAGTATATTTAATTTTTGTGATGATAAAAGAACTTCCCCATCTCACCCCACGATCAGAACTTAAATTGGGCAGGAACCCACCGGATCTCGGCTTCCGGTGCTTCTTAGTTTTTGTAATAAATCATAATTCTATCCGGAACGCACCGGAACTCTGAATAAGAAGTTCTGCGGCACTTCTTTTATGTAATTGAACAACAATCTTCAGTAGAAATTTATTCTCGAAAATTTTATTTTAACAATAAAATTATATTAAAAATCTGCATTTATTAAATTTCAATTTATCTCTTTACATTTTATTTAATTAGTTAATTACTTCAATCTTTAATTATTTCAATTAATAATAATTAATTATCTAATAATTATCAATTAAATTATAATTAATTAATTATATAATAATTATTGATTAAATAACAATTCATAAACATTAATTAAATAGCTATTAATTAACTTGATAATAATTAACTTATTTAATTTAAAAATTATTAATGAGTTTAATAGTCATTTTATTTATTTATTTACTCTTGTTTCTCTCTGCTGACGGTCTTCCATAGGGTTCTGGCACTTCTAATCTTAGAAATTAAGCCCTGATCCTTGTGGAAGCTTTTGGCTGTGTCTCTTGTAAGATGCCTATCTGTCCATGGATACTCTAACAGGCCTTCCTATGGCCTGGATGAGCCTGTTAGAGTACCCATGAACACAGAATTAATAGTCTTAGTGTTCTGGGTGACAGATAGCTCCTGTTTATTTGAACGACATCATTAATAACTCCTATGCAGCTCAATGAGACAAGTACCTCATTGGACCACCTAGGAGTATTATATGTGGCCTCCAAAGGGTGTCAAAAGCCCTTTTGATGTAAAGCAAGATTGCTGTATACTTGCCTCTTGCAAGATTGCTGTCTCTGATATGTTTAAGGTTGTACAATGTGTGATTCACTGAACACTTTTTTCCATGCCAAATTATTGTTTGTACAGATCATGTATAGATCATGTTGCAGTTTTCCTTGGATAAATCTCTCTACCTCAGAACAGCAAGAAATAGATTGGTCTGTATTGTTCAGTAAAAGGACAGGAAGGAAGAGGGCAGTAACGTTGATTGGCCTTGTTTGAGGAACAAGAATACTTCACCATTCTTTAAGGAAGTTGGAAAATATCCCATTTTCCTGCAATGATTCTGGAAGCAGATCACAAGTTTAGGAACTGTTCAAAACATTTCTATTATGACGGTGTTGTCAGGTCCATCTGGCCCTGCAGCCCTTATTTTGATTCAGCTTTTTTATTAGAGTGGTGAATACTGAGTGGGGAAAAAAAGTTTTGCTTTTGAAGTTCCCCCGGTTCGATATCATGTTTCATGCTTGTTCCCTAATTGCATGACAAAGGGTATCCATAGCTAAGATAACTCTTGGAAACAGATTCTCAAGAATAATTCTCATGGTTGTGGTGGAGCTAGGAGCTTGTGAATAGTTGCTTGCATTAAGGGTGGTGCTTTTGCAGATTGCATTATTTGCATTTTAAAGGCTATACCATATTTTGCTCTTGTATTAGTGCACAAAGTCTGTCAGGCCTGTTTCTTTGCATCTAATATTGCCAACTTATATTTGGCTTCTCATTTTGAGAAGTATGCAATACTGCTCTCGTAGTTCTTCATCATGACCTGCCTGATAACGACGCCTGGAAGCATTGTGCTTTTTCTTGTGGATGCTAAGCTCCTCTGTTCACTAGCTGAGATGATTTCCAGTTGTCCACTTAATAAGAACTTGCTGTTATGCTTTCTATAAGAGCTTCTGCAGCTTTATCAAGAAAGGATGGAGTACAACTGGTAACTATCTGAGTGAGATTCTCTTCTGCTTATTTAAGGTGTTTGTGAAGTTTGGAATGACCCCTGTATTTAATCTTAAATCTGCATTTATAATATTTAACTTTGCTATGACCGATTATGAAAGAAATGTATTTGTGATTGCTTATTGAATCTGTATCGAGGACTTCCCAACAATTTCCATTATTTGCCAAGTCTCCGGAAATAAGCATGACATCTGGCCAGTCTTTTGCTCATAATGTTTCAGTGTTGGTGGAGAGTGTCTTAAACTGACTATTTTGCCAGAAATTAACAGAAGTTCTGAGCCTCTAATATCTTCAATCGGGTTTTCCCAGACAGGGTCTTTTGCTTCTGCATCTCTTCCAATTATATTCTTACACTACTTTTTTGTTAAAATTCTTACAATACTTTTTTGCTTTTTTGGATGCTGTAAGGCTAGAGGTGCTTCTTTAGTTTCACATGTGCATGGAAAATAGGACGAGGTTAGTTTTGTGCGTGCATTTTGGCCTTTTAGAGGTATTGTTACTGAATAAAGAGTGGAGTGAAGAAGAAACGGACTATGTGGCCCAGCATAAATTATTCCAGCTTTGCCACTGTCATAGAAGAATGATTCTTCAGGCCATAGGAAATCCTGTTAAGAGTACCCATGAACAGACATGGTTGTTGTATGAGAGTAACTGTAATTTTATTTTCTGTCATAAATTGCACTGCCATTATTGTGGTTGCTCTGGATCTTTCAAAATTGACTTGGAGGACTTTTACTGAAGAGTTTCTGTATATTCTTTCTCAGCAACTCTTTTAGTGAATCTCTGTATGTTGGACAGACACTCTTGTTCACCCCATGATTGATGCTGTAGGTTACTCCTTTTTAGGCAGTGCTTTATGCAGTTCCATTTTTGGGGGAGGGGGATTCTGCTATTTTAAAATAGCCTAAAGATTGCTGGTTTGTCATTATTTAATTTATGGTTTTTATATATCAGCATTTCTCCCCCTACTGCAGTCATGACATACTTTCTCACAAAAATTATTACATCAACCAAATATATATTCATGCCAACTAAACTTCCTATTTTACACAGCAAATGCATAGGTCAAGTTACAACAGCAATCCAACTTACACAATGACCCAATTAAGGTAGCTCATACCTATCAGGATAGAATCTTTGACAGCTTCCAAAAATAAATCTTTACTGTTGAATAAAATTAAGGGTCAATTCAAAAAGAACTTTAGTTTTAAAAATTCTGACATTTATTTTTTTTTCTTACTTCTTCCCCTCAAATAAAAATGAATTAATAGAAAAGTATCATTAAAATACATAATACTATTTGAATAAAATTAAATAAATACAAAGTCTTGCAATCAAATTTCATCATAGATGCAATCGAATTCCTGAACTCTCATCATGAAACAATTATATTTTATTTTGAATGCACATGTGGTGTACACAGACCAGAAATTTTGCAAAATAATCTTTAATAATTTATTTAAAAACGTTATTTGATTTATTAATTTTATGGTGTAAAATAATGTTTTGTTTCAAAATGTTGTTAAGAAGTCCAGATAAAGTGACCTTCTAAATAATTAATTTACAATGTGTTGAGTAACACTTACACCGAAGATAAGACAAAGAGTTTATCTATCATCAGTTGATGACAACCGCTATTTGTACAAGATGCAATTATTCTGCTATTAGAAAACAGTAACAAAACTGTTTTTTTGACACTTTTCAGTTAATGTGTTCAGAAGCACTAAATGTAAACTGCTTAATTTACCTAATGAATATCTATGCAGTGACATAGTTGTGAATAAGCAGAAAAAGTAACTGTGATCCAGTAATTTTTCCTTATATTTTCAGTAGCCTTTTTTGGGTCGGGGGGGGGGGGGGGTTAAAGTGCCGATTTTGTTTCTTTCTTTTCTTTAAAAAAGATAAAACCATACATTATGTAGTTTGGCAGTTTCCAAATCACAAAAAATTCATGATTAATTTCTTCAAAAGGGAAAGATTCTAAGATGAGGGGTGCCTGTTGTGGAGGATTTTCTAGTGAAAATTGGCTCATATTCATGCTACACATGGTGAAAATCAACTACACAAACAGCCCATTTGCCTGAGAGTACACCCAGGCAAAACTCCCAGTATTTAATTATCTTAATGTTTCTTAATCATTTGGCCATTGATTCGCCCCATATGGAAAGAAAACCTTTAAGAATGATATTATATTTCACTCCTACAAGAGCACCCAAATAAAACTGGAATGAAAGATGGTTTCATAAAAGAAACGTTGATAAAGCAGATACTGGTTCAAAGGTTTACACATTCATCTTCTGATAACTATTTAGTTTATTTCTGACATCAAAAGTTCATGTTGGTGGAATTCTGTCAGATGCAAGTATAAATGCACCATTATCACACTAGATGAACACTGACTGGAATAAATACATGCATGCTTATTTGTCAGTTTCTGTTTTTGTATTTAATATTTGTATCTATTTTGGATTTGATAAAAAAAATCAGTTTTCTTTAATGAAGTTGTATATATTGTTACAGTTGCCATTTCTCTCTCCAGACTTCATACCAACATTATGTCTGGCACAAAAAGGTGCTCTGATAACCAAAAAGCACATGTGTTCCTTTGAAATGGCTAGAAAAAACAAACTTTTATAAGAAAAGAATCTTACATCTAAGAAGACCTAAAACTTTATACTGAAATATGAATACCTCATTTTAATAAATTTCACACAGAACTCTCTATTTTGAAAAACACTAGAATTATATTTAACTGTGTTCATTAAAAAGAAAAGTAATATGCCTTTCTAATGGCACATTTTTAATGACTTGTAAATTTTATTAAAAAAAGTTCCATCATTCACGTATATTTCTACAACAATAAATTAATTTAAGACTGCAAATACAGACAAAGTTATATTATAATGATGGATACTAACTTTGCGTGGGTGAATCACCAAAGTTACATGGCAGTTCAGTCGAGAAGCAAAATCTCGAAATGTTGAATATATTTGATCTTGCCTTCGATACTGATCTAATGAAGAATTATAATCTTCCATGTTCATCATAAATTGAAGATTATCTACTACGACATGTTGGACATCATACACAATTACAGCATTAGTCATAGCCTAGAAAAGAAAAAGCAACAAATACAGTTTGTAATTTAATATACAGTACAAAGTCCGTAATCCGGATCTCAAAGCCACAAACTTATGCATGAGCGTTTGATACGCGCGTCTGCTGTGCATGTGAGTAAAGCCAGTAAAGCGTTTACCCATGCACACTTTCGATAGTGAAGAAAGTAACAGAGAACATTATTGAAAACGAAAAAATTTTGATTGACAAGTTAGTCGGCATTCTTGACAGCAATTACAGGACTTGAACAGCAGAACTTTGTAACTAAACATAAAATTATGACTGTTTATAGAATTAAAGAGAAAGTATTAGCACAAAAAACGAAGCAACTTAAACAACTTACATTGACAGAAATGTTTACTAAAATAAACAAATAAATACTAAGCTTTTTTTTTTTTTTTTTTTTTTTTTTTTTTTTTTTTTTTTTTTTTGTAAATTTTGATACCTTTTAAATCATAATTGCTCTTTATTTCATAAATTACGGTTTCATATTTTTAATTGTATAATTTCTGCATGCCATCTTACCAGATTTAAATTGATGATCTATAATTCGGAAAAACCCCTAATCCGGAATCGCCGAAGTCCCGACGAGTCCGAATTATGGACTTTGTACTGTATTAGGTTAAACACAAATAGAAAAATTAATAAACTCTACTGCAAAAACTTAAATAAAATTAATGAATTAATAGTGTTCATTACAGTAAAATTAAATTTCATTAAAATATTTAAAATAACTTTGATTTTTAAGTAAGCATTAAAAACCAAAGATAAGCATACATGTACAATGAATGAGCTCCCTGTAACACAATTATCAAAGTTCATATGATTTTGTTCTTATGTGGAATTAGTCATCTTAAAAAGGTATATTCAATAACAATGCTTATTTATGGTCTCAGAAACAATGGTCACATTTATTAGTGATAAAAGAAAGGATTTATTGTACATTATTTCAAATATTTATTGCACATATTAGAAAATGTAGTAATATATAGTCATACAAAACAAAAACCTATGCACAGAATATTCATATACAAAGGCATTTTTAGACAATTTTTATTAGCTATAATATGCTATTTATATGCTATATTTTAACTGCAATTATATTTTTTAAATTATAAATTATTGTCTGCTACTTGTCAGTTTTGTTTTCATGCAAAATGACGCTTTCAAAGAAGCAATGAATGGAAGGCATGCCCTTTCTGAAGAACATTATTTGTGCCTAGTTATTAAAAAAAGCTTCAAAAACTATGGTTTTTTGTAATATCTAAAGCTAAAGGTAGCTAATATTGTCCACAAGAAAGGGAAAAAAACATTAAAGTTTGGCTTCAAATATGAAAAAAAATGGGCCCAAATACATATCCAAAGAAAAAAAGGAATGTTTTGAAAATTGCAAAGGTCCTTTAATGTAAAAAGAAAATCCGCACCCCCCCCCAAAAAAATCAAGTAGCAGATCAAAGCCCAAAGTCAAAGGACAGTTGCGAAATTATTAAAATGCTCAGTGCCAACTGCAAACAAAGTGATTAATGCTGACTTGAATCCTTTAAAGGTGAAAAAACATAATGTGCATCATTTTTGTCCACAACATATCCTGAACACAGAATACGCTGCTGAATTCTTTATAAGAAACATTTATTCACACAAAAATGGAAAATGTTGTCACAATAGATGAATCTCGAGTATATTTGAATGACTGTAAAAAGAGATCCATTTATTACCACTAAAGAGGAGGAAAAAAACATGGTTCAAAGAATCTAAAGAGAAAAATGTCAAGATCAACTCCACATATTATCAGAAACATATTTTATACCTGATTTTCAAATATAAAACACCTCCTCTTTACCCACAATTCCATTAATCAGTTCTATTGATTCATACAGAACTACTGATGCAGTTCCACTGCATTAAAGCAAAGCAAACAGCCACATGTCAAAATTCCCTGTTAAATTCCTGGAAAAAAAATGGAATAGGAGATGAGTATCAAAGCCATAACCTACATTCATATCCTTATTAAATCTCTTGATGTATCACCCATGAATTTTTGTGCTTTCAGACTTATAAAAAGTGGATTGTTCAAACATTGACCTACAACCCTCCTTGGACTTTGGAAAGCTATTCCCGAAGAATGGGATAAAATACCTCTTCCGATATAATGAATGACTTTATTGTCTTGGAAATTATAGTGCAGAAAGATAGTGAAGAATACGGATTATCAAATAGCACAAAATTTTAGATAAAATATTTTTGTAAATACAATGAAAATCATCTAAAAAATATGCAAACAGCCTACACCGGACATCTACAGAACATACATCTTACAGAACCTACTTTCAATGCACCTAATCAGTTAAATAGTAGTTTGCGGAATGCTGTTCATCTCATAACTTTCAAGATATTAAAATTTTTTAATTTTTTAAGAATTAAAAAAAAAGGTTTTAGAGCATTTTGCTCTTTGTTAAATAAAAGCTAAAATGCATTATTTTTTGCATTATAGCTTTTATTTAACAAAGAGAAAAATGTCCACACTAAATACTCCAAAACACTATAATTACCTAATTATTGTTTAAATAAAAGCAAACATAGATAAGCTATAGAACATGCCCAGTTCATGACATGATATAACTAAAATATATAATCAAATGCCATTTATCAGTGTTATAGTGTTTTTTCAGATGGAAAAGGCAGCACTTGCGGAAATTTGGTAAATCTCAAATTATGATGACCAGATTACATTTCTGCAATATGAGGTACAGCAATTAAATAATGATACTGGCATCAGAAATGTGATTAATTACAAAGTTACAACTAACTTTTATCCCCTTATACATACTCCCCCTATCCACACACTGCTGCATATGTGCTTTCCATTGTTCAAAGCAGTGTCGTAGGTCACCCATTGTCATCCTCTTTAACAATTCTGCTGTTTTTGGTTTTACCTCCTTAACAGACTAAAAATACCCTTTTCACTTTTGGGATCAGATAAAAGTTACAGGGAGCCAGATCTGTTGAATATGGAGGATGTCTGACCATAGGAATATGCTTGTCCACTAAAAACTGTTTCACAGATAGGCCACCGTAGGCTGGTATGATGTCCTGATGCAGAATCCATGTGTTGGTCTTCCACAAATCTGATCTTTTCTTTGTTAATCTTTCGCTCAAATTGATTAGGACTTCTTTGTAGTATTTCTGATTAATGCTTTGACCTGCAGGCACTTATTCAGTCATAATAAAAACCTTGATATTTAAAAAAAAAAAAAAAATATGCTTTACCTTCAATTTTGACTTCCTCATTTGTGCTTTTTTTCATTTTTGGCGATGCGAGCATCTTTCAGTACCTCGATTGATGCTTTATTTCTGAGTCACACTGGATGATCCATATTTTATCGCATGTGATGACACATGTGAGTAAGTCTGGTTCTTCATTGAGTCATTTTATGACATCAGAGCAAACATATTTCTGAATTTTTATTTCTGGGCAGTTTTTCAGAACCATTTTTGGACAAACTTTTGTCATGTTTAATTCATAATGCAAAATTTGTCTTGCTGTTCTCTTTGTTAGTATTCATCTTGTCTGTGATCATCCAAATACTTACATGTTGGTCTTTCCACACAATTTCATTAATTTTCTGCACGTTCTTGAACTCGCAGATCGACCGGGACATTCATCATATTCAACCTCTTTCCAATCTTCTGAAAATTGTTTGTGCCATTCCAAAACTCATGCATATGACACAGCATTATCACCTAACACCTCCTTTAACATATGGAAGCATTTCATTGGTGACTTTTTAGACTTCACAAGGAATTTGAGGTTAATGCACTGCTCAATTTAAAAGTTCACCATGATTGTGGCACTACTACAGAAAAATGCCTTCTACAACCAAGGCTCAAAAGCAAACTAAAGCAGATAGACAGATAAAACAAATGGTGGCTACTCTTTCCAAGGTCCAAGGTCAAGTGAATTCCAATAGCAACCTCCCTCATGCAATTGCCTGACAGAAAGTTCCTAGTTTCATTTTATAATTGCCTCACCTCGTTATGAAACTAGCAAGTTACTATGCATATTATTCTATCAACTATGCTGTACACTGCACCCCCACGTCTAAAAAATGGGTCATCTATACCACCCATTCTACTGAGGCAACTGACGAAATTCAACTTGCATTTTTCAAGTCTCAAAAGCACGGCTTATGATATGTATTAGATTTAAATATAGCGTTGTTCTAATATAGGTATTTTGACACAAAATTGGACTTTTTCTGAAATGACATGCCAATTTTCTTTCCATATTTCGATTTTATGATGCAATTATGTCAAAATGCCAAGTTTCGTAAAAATTTCATGAGAAGTTTTTAAAAAATTAGTTCTCAAAATTTTAGCTCCTCAATATTAATTGAATTTGATATATATTTATTAATATTTTTTTTTCCTTATATCCTTTTTCCAGAATTTCAAATTTAGGTTCATTCCAAATATTTTTTATGATTTATTTTTAAAATTTGTTTTTTAAATTTTTTGAAAAAATTTGTGTATATACCTATAAAAGTTTTAACATCATCTTGAAGTAGATGTATTTCTAAGCATGCCTGCAAAAAATTAATAGTTTTATTCAAAATGTCCTATAATATACGTGAATTTACATTTTGAAATTTGGCATATTTAATATAAACAATAATAATTGAAAATGTGGTTTACGCACTTTGTTAAAATTATTTGAAAGAATTAACAATGGACCTTTTTTTCCTCTTGTGCATCAATGAAAAAAAAGGAAAGTAACTTACTGTAAATTAAGAATTCCGCCAAGTGAATTATTCTTGGCACAAACTGAAAAAAAAATTGCCAAGATAAATTTTTATTAAATTTCTCCATAAATTTCTCACCAAAAATTACAGAATTTAATATCTAGGCATACTTTGAGTCGTAGAATTGAAACATGGGAAAAAATTTATGTTATTTCAGAAAAAGTCCAATTTTTGTGACAAAATACCTATGTTTAGAATAAAGCTCTCTCTCTCTCTCTATATATATAATATATATCTTATGTTGTGCTTTTGAGACATGAAAAACGGAATTAAAATTTTGCCAAGCGGCCCAGTAGAACAGAAGATATAGAACTGTCTCATTTTTCGCAACTGTACATTCAAAAAATTATCTAAGAAAGAAATCTTGTCAGCAAGTTATAGACACACAATATTTTTTTAATACTAGACCAGAAGAAAGCTGCTCTGTCTGATTTGAGGCACAGAATGGATAATGTAACATATCTCACCAATATTTTTTATGCAGATGATATAAATAATGATATAAATAATTATATGTGTGATATAAATAATGCATCACAATATGCAGGACATAAGGCACTTCACATGCATAATTTACTTGGGATAGTTCTGGCAGTACTAATGTGGAACAAAGCAGGCTTATAGAGAAGTTTAATAAATATGATACTATAGAAAAAGTTCAGCTTGGAAATGTTTTATGCATGATCACCTAAACATCACAAGCACATGCTTTTACAGAATGATATTCCTCCACAAGTACTTATGTTAAGATGTAACATGCTGCTCTGCAAGCATTGTTTGAAAACCAAAATGGAAGAAATAAAATACCGTTTTGGCATCCAGGCATTAATATAACTGAACAACTTAAGGATATTTTGAAAAATAAATGTGAAATGTAGAAGCTCAATTATTTATATTTAAGGAATTTGCTGAAAATATGTTAATATCAAATAACACAAATTACTTTTGGAAATCCTTCCATCACTGAGCTAAAGCTGTTTTAATGGTATATGAAAGGCCAATATCATATTACACTGGTAGTTATGAGTATAATGTGTTCATTCTCTGTTGCATGTTAGTCTCACATCAAAGTATATAAACCTTCCTACTATGGGGGGGGGACATAAATAAGACTTTTCAAGACCTTTTTGAGCCTTTCAAAATATTTTAAATAAATTTTGTACTAATCATCTATTTACATATTCTTACCTGGCTTGGGTTCATTATAATACAGAAAGCTAATGTTTCATGCTTTTGATAGTTATTTTATTTAGATTTAAAAATAATGTGTTCTAAATCTCAGAGGGATATTTAAATATATTTATATACCTAAATAACTCTGAATTTTTTTATGGTTTTACATTAATGAAACATATACCTTTAATATCTTTTTCAAAGAACGTGGGCCATGAAAATTAAGGAAGAACATTGGAAGTTTACGAAACTCCTCAGACCAGTAATCAAATTCATCAATATTTTCACTCAATGAGCACCTATTGCAAACAAATATTTAAATTTTTTTTCACACACAAACAAAAAAAAAAAAAAAAAAAAAAAAAAGGAATAATTTAATTATAATTAAAGTATATTTAAATAAATTCTTTTTGACACTGGATTAATGTATACAAGAATGAAAGATATACAAAAATAAACCTATAATTATGCACAATGTTGTATTTCAGTTTCTGCAAGCAACATTGTTGCTTTACACTTACTATATGTGGTATCCATCTTATTACTACTGCATTAATTTAATGTTGCAATATTGCTTACAGTCCTCCTGACTTGCTGTTAATAAGGGCTGCTCCACTTTCTCTTTGTACTAGAGAAAAGCAACATTCAGTGAACTAAGTTTTTGGTAGTCAGATGCAAGTATATTATGTACATATATTATGTATTTTCTGCGAAATACAAGAACAATGCTTTGCTGCAAAAGAATATTTATGAAGTGATTTAAATATTCAAAAATGTTTTCACACAAGGAAGGAATTCAAGAGCTACAAATGAAGATATAGAGAATGATGTGATTTTGATAAACGAAGATTATTAATGAAGTGGCAAATCATCAGGAAATTAAACATGATTCTGCATCTGAAATAATCCTCAACGGCCCAGAATTTCCCAAAATCTGTGCATAATGGAAATTCACAGTGCTGCAGCAAAAACATGCTTGGATACCAACAGCATGTGATTACTAAAGCAATGAAAGGGTACCTTGTATAGAATCCTCATGAGTGGTATAGTTTTGGATCTATCATTACAAGTAAGAGTGAATAGTATGGAAGTGAAACATCTGTAATTGTCCCATAATTTTTTTTTTTCAAAAGTCATCATTCACAGAAAATCCAGTGCTCATAACATTTTGGAATTTGCAAGGTTCAGTACTGGTATATTACCAGGCGACAAAATGATATATAGACAGTACTTATTATTATGAGATATCTACTAATAAACCAAAACACTTGCAATTCCAAGCAAATGCCATTAAAACAGTCAGCTGGTTTTTGTGATCTTAGACAGTTACATTCATACAAATACTGCTGTACACATTCCTAAAACACTTCAAACATTTAGCTTTAAATTCATTTGTTACACATGGTATAACCTAATAGCCAATCATGTGCCAGCATGAGGCATATGTTAACAATATGTTTCTATATAGCCCTTACTGGTGGCTAAGTTGTTAAGACCGTTGAATGCTGATAGTTTGTCCTGTGTTCAATCACTGCAAATGGTGAGGGGGTGCATGATTGTATTTCATGGTCTTTTCCATTGGTAATGTAAATACAATTTCTCTTGGAAAATCCTCTACGAAAGCATTTCTTCTGTTAGGCAAATAGCTCCTTTGAGCTTTGCCATATTCCAATATTTAATTAGCTTAGGTAGCTGTAGTTGTTGTAGCAAATGTAGTAAATTTAACATTTTTAGTTTTTGCTTTGTATTTTCCATGTAAATTCTTTTCACAGTTTTAACATAATATGAGCAACATAAATGACAATTTACCAATGCCTTTTTGTTATTAGGATTAGCTTTCTATTTTTAAAAAGTCCTTGGCTACTTTGTGGATAATTATTAATTTAACCACTTAAATCACAAAAACAAACTTTTAGTTAAGAAAAATTGGAAATAAAAAAAATCCTAAAAACTTAGTTTTCTTTTTTTAATTACTATTAATTCCCAGTTTAGTTTTGCAGAACACCCAAAGATAAGCATAAAATGAGACATAGTTTATTATTGCATATTTTACAATCCATCAGGAATGATTTAAAAAAAAAAGACAAGAACAACATATTTAGTCCCTGAGATAGAGCATTTGATAGCACTGATATTTAAAAGATTTGATGACACACCAAAGAAAAAAAGCGCTCAATAAAATGAAAGCACGTGATAAGGCATATATATGGAGGGAATCAACTACTCTGCATTTTACTTCGATAATTATCTGACAAATATGATTTTTCATCTCAGGCTGTGAATTATGAAAATTATAAAAATTACTTCTAAAAATTCCAGAAATAGTTATAGTATTTATTTTATTTCGCGTATCCTTTTCTAATATCTGTAATATAAAAATTCTTTCCGTATCTTCAACTCATTACAACACAAAAAGTCAAAATTTTAAAGATGAAACTGAGATAAAATTATCTCAGAAACATAAATATGTTCATGTAGAAAGTAGCTAAAAAATTAAATGACAAAATATTATTTTTTCCTCAAGATATCCTCATGAATTTTCAATTTTTTTCTTTTAAATAAATAATATTTTTATTTTAAAACTAATGATTTCTTTTCATCTTCATTCAAAAGTAGACAAAAAAAAAAAAAAAAGTTATCTGTAAATGCACATTCTTAAGAATTGACAACATTAATTTTTTTCTGATTCAGTTTCGTCTTATAAAACACAAAAATAAATTAAAAAAAAATTATTAAGTAACTGAAGAGATCAGATCAATCCATAGTATTCATTTATTTATTTAGAATACTGTATTTACATAACAGATTAATAAGCAAATTGCAGATTTACCTTGAATATTGTAAAAGCATGGTCTTCATTAATCTTACATTACTAATCTCAAAACTTGCCCATAAAGTAGGACGCTAAAATATTAGACAAAGGATTAAATAGGAACACAATTAAAAAAAATATGAAAAGTAACAAGAGACATACTCACTCCTTGTGCACATAAATCCAGAGAATATTCACTCATAAATGTAGTTTTACCAGTACCAGTCTGACCTGAAAAAATTGTCAGTTCACCTCTACGATGACCTTTCAAAAGTTCATTTAAAACGAAAAATCTTTTCCACTAAAGGAGAAAAAAATATATATAAAACTGATATCAATAGCATTTTATTTATTAATTCCATTGCATGAAACTGTTATCAATAGCATTTTAATTATTAATAACATTATATAAAAGTGTAATTAATAACATAACGTACAGCAATAACTGCCAAATTTGTAAAGGAAAATAATCTGTTCATTTTTATATATGCTTGCATGAATCTGATCAAATACTAAACATAGGCAAGAGTGTACATAACATAGACAAACATAGGCATATACAATAGGCATAACATAACATAGGCATATACAATAAACATAGGCAAACAATAGTAGTATGGATTGTAGAGTGTGCTTAAAAAGTACTTCATGGCTAAACATTTGTTTAACAAACATTTAGCCATGAATTTATTCAACAAATATTTAGCCATAAATACTTTTTGTCACATCACTATGTTATGATGAAAGAAATGATACAAATAAGGTAGACTTTCAGACATGGCAACGTTTTTTAATAAAAATTTTGAGGTTTAAATTTTTAGATGGACTCAATAAAAGGGAGGAAAATCAGTAGATATTTTCCATAGTTAAATTAGTCAAAGAACACAAAATTACTCAATATATCAACAATGGAAATTTTGGGAAACTATATACAATTACTACTAAATATAATATGCCTGTTAAGGATACCTACATATTAGTTTTAGTACATTGGCACAGTTTGGCAATTTTTCTAGAAAAAATGAATGATGACTTATAATTGCAAAACATTACTTATTCATACATATTATTATTATAATAGTCAATCACTATAAGATTATTTTTCTAGTAGAAATTCATAGCAACCACTTTAAAAACAGATTAAAAGCAGTTGTTCTTTTTAAACGATTTTATGGTGAGGGGGGAAAATTGATTTTATGGGGGAAAAAAATACTGTATTCTAACAGAAATCATACTGTAAATTTCATTTACACCAAGTAAATTCTACAAGAATTTATTTTAAAACTGAGTTTAAAGCAAAATACACGACTATTTTTCTATAGAAATCCTTTGAATACAACAAAAAGAATACATACAAAAAGGGTAACATAGTTTGCTAAAACTGTTGAACTATTATGCAGATGGTTGGCAAAACTTAGTACACTTGGAAAATTCAATCATTTCTACTAGGATAGTTACACCTAATATGTAAGTTAGCCTGTTAAGTTCCCAAATGTAAATTTTTAAAAGAGGCTTTTTACTAATACTTTACTATAAAAAAATCCTTTTGTTTCTGTTTCAAAATAAATTGTTCCATGGGTTTTAACACTTTTTACTTTTATTATATACTATAATGCTAACTGCTAGAACATAATCTGGCCAAATGTCTAAATAATTGCTAAATATCACTTAGTTTTAGTGGAATAACATAACTATACATTTTAACTTATTATAATACAATCTCTGCAAATCAAATACCCATTTGCAAAAGACACATTAAGTATTAGAAAAGTTACAATTATCTAAATATTTAGTTCATCATTAAATAATAACTACTTATTAAAGCAATAAAAATGAAATAAAATGATTGAAAAAGTTCTTGAAAATCTGGAAAAAAATCTTCTTGTATGGTGTACAATAAAGTAGTTGCTGAACAAATTAACAGAAAAATTATTGGCAACAAAAAAAAAAAAAAAAAAAAAAAAAAAAATTCACAATTATGAATATAAAAGTTTTTAAGAACTTAAAAGTTTTACCTTCAAACCAACAGCTTTTTCATAGCCTTTTAATTCTTCAAGAATTTCGCCTACATAAGAATCAAATGTTTCTAAATCTTCATCATGCATTGGATAAGCTTCTCGCAAAATATGTCTTAAATTAAAATCATTCTGGAGGCTTAACAATGCACACTGAAAATCACTTGGCCTATAATAATTTTAATACATTATGAATATATTATACTGAAACTTCTAAAATACTCTTTTTTATAAAAATAAATAAATAAATAAATAAATAAAGGGAAGATAATTCCTAATCTTACCTAATAAAAAAGGCACTTTTACCAAGATGATTTCCAAGAATCTTATGTGTTTCCCAGTCATGTAAATGTGGTTTCAACCAGAAAATAACTTTAGCAAATGGCTTTAATGCAGAAAGTATCTAAAATTTTAAAATTTCTTAATGACTCATATTTACATGTGACATTAGTTTTAATATTTAAGATTATATGTAAAAATAATTGTAAAAGTAAAATAAAAAGCAAATTTACCCTTGAATTAAAAAATAAACAATTAAAACACACAAACTTTATAAAATTTCTAATACAATTTTCAAGATAAATATTTTATACAATCTTTTCATTTTATAAGAATTAAATGAACTTACAGGCATTAAAAAATCAGCAAATAATAAATGAAATTAATAATTACAATGTGTTCCATCTTCCTTGTGAAAGTATATATGCAGAACCTTCATTCTGAAATTAGCCTTAAAAATGCCGTATTATTCATAAAATTTTGAAAGTATTACAGAATTCCTTTATCTAAATTAACTGGAGGGTGAGCCAACCTTGAGAAAGACTTCTTTCAGATAACCCTTTGTCAGATATTTTCAGGGGGAGAGAGGGAAACAGAAATGGCTCATTCATTTTCAAGGATGTCATTTTGTAGAAAGCATTTTTATTATACACAAGTACAAGCTGAAGTCTTAATAGTTACACAAATAAATATCAAAAAGACCTTTTTTGGCCTTTTCGATATATGAGACAACTCTTTTTTAATTAATCAGTTTAACATCCTTTTTTCAAATTTTTCTTCAGAATAAAATATTTACTATGAAATTCTCTTATTTGTAGATCTAAAAATAACAAGAAAAGAGCTCTTTTCACATAAAGCTTGGAGTTTTTTTTTTTATTAATGTTGAGCACACTGGATTACTAAACTGGATTATTTACATTTTATAAACAGTTCTTGCTGATTAAATGAGTAATGCTTTATGACATCTGTATACCTCAGTAACCCATTTTCATTCAAATATTTCAATACCTCAAATATAAGGAATAAAGGCTCTAATCAAGTAAGAGGTATTTACATACATTATGTTTGAAATCAAAAAAAGTTTAAAAAATATAATTAAATCCTACTCTCACACAGAACAAAATTGAAATAAAATGAGAACAAGTTCATTAATGACTGGTTTGTTCAAAGAAGTCTGGAACAGCTGGGTGCCTGTTAGCCAGCATTTAAACATAATCTAACTACCAATGGCCATCAAGCCCTGGCAGTTTTATATAACTTTATTTAAAACTGAAAGTTAGATATTTTGCATTGCAGAAATGTAGGATATTAATATGCCAGCCCTGAAGTAATTTGTCTAACGTAGCAATTTGTCCATTCACAGGTGATCTAAGTTCTTGAAAAACAAATTTCACTCCTGTCGAGTAAACTGCTTAAAAAAAAAGAGAGAAAAAAAAAAGATATATGTGCTGCATGTAGGAATATGCAGAAATATTGCCTGTTTTGATTGCGCGGTGATTATTTAGAGCAAAATGTTAAAGGCAGTACTTGTTTTCAACAGCATCCAGAAGTGATAAGTTAAACCCTCGAATAAAGCCATCAGTCAGGATGTAAATTTTTTGTGGAAGTTTCTCAAAGATATAATTTCTGTGCCCGTATGCACTACTGATACTTTTGCAATCAATACTGCACCTGTGATCAACCATGATATGCTATCGTGTATGGTATGAAATGGATTATCACACAGATGTTTGCTATTTCTGCAATAGTGGACATATTCAGTATTTGTAAAATGAGTGAAAAAAAATTAATTATTGCATAATTTACTGTTTATGAATTTTAAAAATGTTTTGCAGAATTATAAATAACCCTGATAATAAAACAAGGATTTTTGAATAATAATGGAAGTCAGCAAGTCAAATTTAAAATTTGAAAACAATTTACCTGTACCTAGAATGAATAAGTTAATGATACAAATGCCATTCAGCATTAAAGTAATTATTGGGAACTTATTTTTAATACTAGGTTCAGAAAGTAAGTTAATGAATCCAATTTACTATTGAATATCTAGAATGGATCTGTAAATAAAAGTACTTTTGGGATAGGTATATCTTAAAATAATAACAAAGTCTACTAACATATGGGTTTAGGAATCTCATTTCTCGCTCCTAGACCAACATTATCCACAAAATTTCTAGAGTTTTATCTAATATGGAACCACTAACCATTAAAACAAATACTTTATATTTTAGGATTGCATTCTAAATTTGGTTGAAAAACATCATTTTTTTAAAATTATTGATGATAGGAAATAAAGATGATTTAAGCCAGCAAATTTCATCTCAAATATCTCTACAAATTTTACCTCAAAGCAATGAAACATTCTGTATTTAGTAACAAACATTCCAGTAAGTAGGCCTTTTATTTTAGGATATGAATATAAGAAATTAGATATCATATCAGTATTAAAATTCTTATACAAAAGTTTATTATCTTATTTTGAGAAATTGTATACTCAAAGTACATGTCTAGGGAAGTAATTTAAGGAAATAAAGATTTTAGCCTTTTCCAGCATCCTGTTGAAATAATGCACTTTACATACAACTTTTTCTTTTCATATTTACATTTCATAATGAATATTTCATATATACCCATATGTATTAATACTAAGTGAAAAACACTATAAAAAGTACTTACATCTGGAGAGAAATTTTTGAAATTATATGGCAATGAAATCACAGGTAAATCAGTTTCTTGGTTTACAGCAATAGCATCAAGAGGATCAGATGTTACAACTACTACTCTTTCAGTACTTCCAACTAAAGACCAACCAAAAAGCACTGGATCATTTAACCTAAATAAAAGAGAAAACTTAAATATTTTGCAGAATTTAGTTTCCTGCAAAGTGACTACAAATTTCAAAAATTTTCAATTTCAGAGAATTGAACAAGAATATCAATAATTCTTTCCTTAATATTGTGTTCTGAGAATAAATATATTTAATATTTGCCACCAGATGGCCTTGATCAGCGCTGGCAATATAAAGATTTTAAGCAGAACTTGGTAAATCGGACTGCTAACATTGTAATGATGTACTTATTCATTGTGTTGGTTTGAGTCAGAAGCACACTACAAAGCCATCACTCTCTTCTGGTGCAGAGATATTATTGACTGTTGCTTTTTGTACTGCAACACACTATCTTTTGGAAGAATGTTTTAAAAAGTTTTTAAAAAAATGTCATGTTCTGCATACTTTAAAAAATCAGTGTATTATCAAATGTCAACTCTGTATTCTTCTTTGATTAGTGTGAATTAAATTAAGCAAATGGGCAGTTTCTCTTTGTTACTGAAGTAATATTTCAAGATTTTTTGAAATGTAATAGAACAGATAAAAGGTATTTAAAGATGAGTCAAGAATGCAAACTGCAAAAAGGTCTCTTAAGCCAAGATATCACACTTATGGAAATGAAAAATGACATTTTTCAGATGGGAAACATTAAGCATACACAGATATATAATTTTTGATTTAAATGAATTTAAATTAATTAATTCAATTTATGCATATATATATATAATTTATAATTAGAGAAAGTTTTTCATATATTATATCCAAGGAACAGAAATTCAATTAAAGCTATAAATTAAAAGTAAAAAATTTTAGTGAGTATTCTAATTAGTGTTTTAAATTAGCATAATCTAGTCCTCTATTGCAGGAAAAAACATTTAAATGTGTAAAGAAAAAACCTGATCATAAAAATACCAAATTCAAAAGTAAAAATTTAAGCACTGAAAAAGTAGTTAATGTCATTGATTGCAGATTAATTGACTTGTCAAGGGGAACAAACCAATCTACTACCAATCACCGATAATAAAATTAAGTAAAAGTCTTTCATCTTTTTTCCAAGTAAGCGTTAAATTATTATGTTAAAGCTAGATCATAAGTTATGAACAATTAATAGAAAGAAAAATTAGTCCATTTAAGTCAAAAGACCTGTCATAAACTAAATAAAATGAGTTAGAAATTTTTTTCCTATTAATTGTTCATAACTTATAACGTAGCTCTAACAAAATAATAACTTAATTCTTACTTGGAAAAAAGACAAAACACTCTTGCTTAATTGTGTTATCGTTGATTGATAGTAGATTGGTTTGTTTCCATTGACAAGTCAATTAACCTGCAATCAATGACATTAACTACTTTTTCAATACTTAAACTTTTACTTTTGAATTTGGTATTTTTGCAATTCAAGTTTTTTTCCTTTACAAATTTAAATGGTTTTTACAGCAATAGAGGACTAAATTATAGAAATTTAAAATGCTAATTAGAATACTGACTAAAATTTTTTTTCTTATAATAATTCATGGCTTTAATTGAATTTCTGTTCCTTGGAAATAATATATGAAAAACTTTTTCTAATAATAAATTATTGGTTTATTATTTAGCAGCTTTTAGCCCAAGTTTTAGGCTTATTAATTATAATTACTTTTACTTGGAATTTATACATATATATATATATATATATATATATATATATACAGTATCACAAAATTTATTATAGTTATAATTATACACAGATTTCCTAATGGATAAGAAATAATTCAAAATGCAGATTTCTTTAAGTATACTTATTTTTATGATGATCTTCACTCTTTTGATAGTCACTAATCACTAAATAGCAAAGTCATAGAACATTTTTAAAAATTACAGGTAATTTTTTATAAACCTAGGCTATTATTGGTTGCTTACTTTTGTGGATATTACAAAGATTGATTAAAATCATACTTCCAAATAGCAAATAAAACAAGCTCTCCAGATGTTGCTAATATTTCATGAATTTGATATTATTTTATGAATACATGGCAGGAATAACAGCTATAGAATTCACATTTCATAAATTATTAATACACATTTCTAAATTTATTTTCATTTTCATTTGTTTTATAATATATATGTACAAAATCTTTTTTTAAGTCATTTAAACAATAAATAATTTGGAACAAATTAATTGTAGGCTGAAGCTTATGATGATGTCACCATGAACCATTGTCATCATACTGGATGATTGTGATTTAAAAAATGAACAGATTACACAGACTAATATAGAGCCCATTCCATGCATTTCATTAAACTTGGTAAAAACATTGCATGGACCACAGACAAAAGAAAACTGCAATAAAAATTATTAGTTCAAATTTCAACCACCAGATTAAAAACTGGCACTTAAAGAACAAGAAACACAAATTGGAATGTAAAATTTTACTTAATAACAGCATTTGTTCAATGTGCATTTTACTATTTTGGTCAATCACATATTCAAAGCATGTTACAGCATATTCACCAGTACAGTACAGAATTTGAGAAACTGCCACAGCATGACATGTTATACTTGCTTTCAGTTTAGGCAAAAACCATATGCTTCTTCTGCAGGTCTTCTTTAGGAATCCCCACAACCAGATATCACAGGGAAGACAGAGACAGAAAATGAGCAGGTCAAGACTTTTCAAAATGACCTGATCGTCTCCAAAGTTAGCACAAAGCAGTACGGAGTGTTATAACATTTTGAATGAACATAGCAGCATCTACACATTCCCGACTGTGTAAGGCAAAAATGACTTCTGCTGCATAAGTTAGTGGAAACAGGTATTCATGAGAGTACTCCTTTTAGAAACTTCAGGAGTGTTTTCCTCAGAGAAAAAAGAGCCAGGGAAAATGTCAGCAGTAAAACCATGCCATAGCAGTCCTGTACTCAGAACGCAGAGGCTTTTCAAGCACAACATTAGTTTTTTCAATACCCTACATGCATTCTGAATATTCACTCCAATATCTATGGCAAAATGTTTCAAAGCCATGCAGTCAATGGCTATTCTTTCTTTTATGTATAAATACATTTGCTACTTTTACATGCAATTTAGTGTTGATGAAAGCTTCACTTTTTCACACTTGTTGATTTTACCATTGTGTGCTTAACTTTTAGAAATCATTGTATTTATACAATATGCCATAAGAGCTACATTTTCAAGCAGCCTGGTACTTTAATTTGATGCAAAATCGAAGCACAGTGGTTACAGGCACTTTGGCATATAAATTTTACTGCCATCGGCAGGTTAACATTTAAAGAAAAATTTCTGGCATTTAACACAAAATAACAAACAGAACACATCAGATCTTAATGCTCATATTTTGTAATACTATTTCTTAGTTAACATGGACAGTTTTACTATTTGTTCTATGCAGCCAAAAAATTTCAAGAAATTTAATATCTTTTTCCTATTTTATATTTCATTAAAAAGTTACTCATATTAAAATATATATCATGTTTCTATAATGCTAACAATCAGCTTTATAAAAGGTGATAACTTCATATTAAATGCATAATTAATAACAAGAATTAAATTAGATGCAAACAAAAAATGCCATTTTTAATAATCTATAACAAGGACAAAAATCTCAAGTGAACAAATATATCAAATTTCACTTGATGACAAATTTTTAGTACTTAAAAGGTACCTGAAAAATGATTAATTTCATGCTTTTGGAAAAAAACAATAGTATTCATACACACAATTATAGCAAGGAGCAGTGTTCCAAAACCTGAATCAAATTAACAAGAGCTCTCCGTTTTTTAAATAAAAGTGGCATTTAAGATACTGCATTTTCATTTTACAAAGATATAACTAGTATCGGCAAGTGATGAAATCAGAAATATTACAAATTCAAAATTTCTTAAAACTCATGAGGAAAAACAATATAGTAAACTGATAACCTTATTATCAAAATTAGCAATCCCTACCCCATTTCTATACCACAAAAGAAAAATCATTACTTAAAATATGCTTGAGATAACATTTTAATATGAAAATGTGAAATACTGTATTATATAATTTTACTAAAAAATATAAAAATAATAAAGAAATAAAGATAAAAAAATAAATTTACATAAAACAAAAAAATATGACTGTCTGATTCTTCATAAATAATTAAAATGTAAATTTTTGCATATGGTTAGATGAAACATGTATGTGATTTTTAGCCTGACAATAAATAATACAAAACATGTTTTCGGCATTTGTTATATGTTACCGGCTAAGTTTGAAATCCAGTAAAGATGATGAAATGGATATTTTGTGCACCCTTTGTTTCAAAATTGAAAATGCTATTGAAGGTAAAATAAATTCTAAAATCAATCTGGAAATACAAGCCAAAAAAATCAAAATGAATTTGGAAAAACAATTTCTCACTTCTTTGGGAATTACTGTGCGAGTTACTATTTTTGACGTCGACAAGGGCCGAGATGATTTGCACAATATATTGGCATATTTTATATTCTATACAATGCTGCCGTTTCATACTTTGCTGGTAACATACATAATAGCCTTATATCAGGACCTGTTTTCATTCTTTGCCAAAATAGCATTTATCATTCTACGTAATGCCTAGGTATTACATACAATGCCTAAAGAAAGCATGTAATAATTCTCATATTCCATACTTTGTTTAAAAATGTCTGGCATTATATACAATGCCTAGGCATTCTATACTTGCCATACACATTAGCAATAATTTCTGACTGGTTTTAAAATCTTATCACCAATCTCAATTTTTGTATACTCTTTTATGGCCTCCAACAATTTCACATGATCAATTCATGAGAAAATATACAGTTTTAGAAACAATCGGGATACAGTTTATTTTGGCTATTTGTATAATAATAAGCTGCAGATATTCAGTGAATTAAGTTATATTTTCAGTTAATGAAAAAATCCTGCCCATTACAAATGAAGATCGAAAACACAAAAGCACATTATTGCCAATCAACAATAAATGAAATATTTTATTTATTTTTAATATTAAAG